ATTAAGTAGTCTTCAACATCTTGTTGTTTTTAGATGAGAAATATGTGATGATGTTTTTCATTAGAGTGCCCAAATCTTCATGAAATTGAAGAAGTCAGGCAAATGATTTAATATTATTTTGGTAGTAGAGAAAACATGAGTATATCTGCAACATTTTTCCATCCATTGATTATATATAAATAGGCCAATAGTAATGATGGGTCAGCATCTATGGAACCACAGAAAGTATGTCTATCTTCTGGGAATTGAGACAAAATATCCTCATAATGCCATACTCCTGAATGTCCAGTATTGTTAGTTTACTTCCAAGATGAGTTTGTAAAGAGCTAAGGCTATAATTGAGTTGGAACTATTTTTTTTAATGGACTTATTTTCTCATCAGAAGCATGGATGCAATCTTTAAGAGTTGATGTAGACAATTTTCTGATGGGGGTAGGTCGTAATTCCCTTTGTTTTGAATAGAATATACATGCATATTTGCAGACCATATAAACAGGAGACCTTTACCACTTGAAAACCTTCAAGTACAATTAAAGTATAATAACATTTCTGATTATATGAGGTTTTTATGTCACATGAAGATGTGTGGGCCAAAGATGTTGATATGTGTATACTTCAGAAGCCTAAAGTTGATATGGTGACCTGTAAATTGATCTTAAATTGTTTTATGGGCTAGAAATTATTCTCACTATTTCATGAGTGAAACAGATGCCTTTTAATAGTAGTGTGCCTCTTTGTATTAAAATGTTCAAAAGAAAATTCCAGCAAGAGGCTGGTGTGAGTATTAAAGAAAATTTAGACAATCATGTATGTATTTAGTCAGAAGTATGCAATTTCAACTCTTTACTTCTGTTTGAAGAATTTAGGCAGATGAGTTCATTTGAATTTCATCTAAATTAATTACTTATTAAATTAAGTCTTAAATTTGCACAGTGCAAACAACTGTTTAGAAGAGAAATAAAACTAGAAAGAAACTGGATATTAATTTTGGGGGAAAAAAATTATGTATAGTTAACAAGATTTTCGTTTTTCTAAGTTAAATTTTTAGTATAAAACTATAATTAATGATTCATATTGGCTGGGGAAAAAAAACAACACGTTTACACTAAATCGATAACAAGTAAAAGATGATAACTTAATGCTTAATTAATTACTCGAAGCTTGTTTGATAATGCGTAATCTCTTTGATTATGATAATTATTTCCTGGAAAAAAAGAAGAGTTATAGCAGAAGAAAACCAGCAGCAGATGGGTTTTATTGGTTTTTATCAAACATGAAAATATTTGCATCCTTAATGTGGAAACTAGAGCTGACAGGTAAACTGCAGTTGTGTTTTTCTCTCCATGTTTTATAAATAATTAAGCACAATGATTGCATCATTAATTTGTCTTGACATGTACTGTCTTTTCATCCTAATCGGTATGGGTGGTCTTTTCAGATAATGTTGCTGTTTGTTGTTGCTCTTTAAACCTTGCAGCAGACGACACAACAAGTGGTGTTGCATTGGTTATTATTAATCATAAAGTGCCTAAAACTATTGTCCTAAAAACTGTTGTTAACATCAACAGAGACAAACAAACAAAAAACCCATCAGAAATTAGACAACAGTGAAGTGATGTCATCTTCTGACACCAAAATGTTCACACCCAGCATTTAGCTGATAAGCAATTGACAGGTACTGTAATTGGATAATGATATGAATAATGCTGAATGTTTTAAATAATATGAAATTTGTCCAATCTTTATCAAATGTTTGGAATGTGTATATTATATTAATTTAAATCTTGAGAAATAACATCGGATAGTCACAAAGATAAACCCTGTCTATAGATAGTTTAATTCAGACAGTGGCAAGAGTATTATGATTATGATCTCTGGAAAGTAAAATGTCAAGTGTTTTTAAACATTAACATTTAGATGTTACAAAGAAGGTTTGATTGTTATCCTGCAGTCATTTCTGTTTATTTGTATAATTGATAACTTTTTGCTTGCTTCAGAATCAAAAGAACAGGTTGAGTGCTGAATTAACAATTTTTGGCTGTGTCAGCGTTCTATTAGCATGAAAGCGCGCACACGCGTACCCAGAGCTCTGATCCAGAAAAGATTACAATGTTGTCAGAATAAGTTGAAAACATGTAACACAATTGAAGATATATTACAATTGAAATGACAGGATGGGGCGTGACAGCATTGCTGAATTCAATCTATGTTTTGTCGGGAGAACCTTTTGACATATTCTTGAGAGCGCACTTGGTAACAAAGGGTTGGGGGGAGTGTAAGAGTTGTTGTTAATTCTGTAATGGCATTTTGTCATCTTGTTAATTACTTTATTAGAGGAAAGTATGAAGATTGCCGAGACCTTTTCAGCACATTGTCAAGAAAAATGCGAGAAATCCGGTCTGGCATTGTGACAGAGGAAGACAAAGGTTTTATTTAATTGTATATTTGAACATGTTTATTATGTAATGCAATAAACCTGTCTGTTTAGATGCATTCTTCTGTTTTCTGCAAATTCAACACTTCAATTCAGGCATGTTTGCAAACCTTTTTATCCTAAATTCCTGTAATAGACTCATCTGACTTTGATTTGGAACATGCTATTTGCTATTTGAAGGGGTTGGTGGTAGTTCTCATCAGTCGTTTTTGAGGTTTCTGAAACAGATGCTCGCCAGATTCATTAGAAGGAAAATGCTGTAAATTTATGGAATATTTTGAAGTAATTTAGTCAAACTTGTCTGTTAAAGATAGCAATATAAAAATTTTAGTTTTACGAGAAGTTCAGATTTATTCTGACAATTGTTTGGCTTTTAAAAATGTGATCTACTACCCTGTCTTAATGACATTGTTATAGCTTCAAATTAAACTATGCTGTATTTATGTCACTTCATGGAAGTAAAAATGTTTCACAACTTTATGAAATTGCTGTTAGAATTGCAAAAAAAAAAATGCTGCAAATAATTGTGGATCCAAAGTTGCCTCCCCTCATATTTCTTTATAGAGAATGCTTGCACTTTCTAGGAATGGAGAAAAAGTGGAAAGAACTCTCATGAAATACTTCCTTTCAGCTTTGGGGAAAGGGGTCTTTCAACATTTTTTTCTCACCTGAAATGAACTTTGATGAAAAGTGATGGGATTTGATATAAACCACTGGTGTTTATGAAGCAGAGATAAGGTGATTTATATACACAAAGCATGTAGGGTTTTTATTTTGGTTTGGGGGATATATTTCACTGATTGTTTGTTTTATTTTGATATAGTTTCATTCCCAACAGCAATGATCCTTTCAGGATTGATTTGTTGCTATCGGTGTTGTTTATAAGTATGGCAGAAGAGAAAATGGGTTTGATGGTAAATAAATAAATTGGAAGAAGGATATAAATTGATAATAAGTGATTGGCTCAAGCTGATAAAATGTATGTAGCTAAAATGTACGATATAGCTAAAATGTTTTTTAAGTGGAAAAAAAATATTGTAAATGTATTAGAAGCTATATAGCTACTTTGTTGTGAATCTACCTGAAAGTGCTTGATGATGTAAAGAAAAGAAAAAAAAAATAGTTTATTAGAACTGTAATTCTAGGAAGCTTCTTTGAAGAGATTGTAATTGTCATTCCTTTAAAATACTCTATGAGCCTTATACCAAATGAAGTCGTGTTCTCTGCAACTTTGATTTTTTTTCTTGTGTCACTGAATTCAGGTGATGTAAGCTTTGTTGATAAGTCTTTGGAATGCTTTGATTGTTCAGTCTTATTTTGCTTAATGATGTAAGCTGCTTTGATACATCTGCCCTAATGGACTTTTGATTAACCCAAAGAGCAACAAGTTAATTTTCTGATGTCTGATATATCAATTATTGGATTTAAGGATTTAGAATATTGTAATTAGATGGATGAAGGCCAATGGGTGTTTGACACCAGTGACTGACAGGTCGCTGTTTATAAAACAGTCATTTTAAGTGATTGATAATGATTAAATAATGGGTATTCTACAGTGCAGCTTCACCAAGCTGCCAGACTTGCACAGCGAAACAGCTGTTATTGGTACACTTGAATGAATGTTACTGTAGGCTGATGACAGATTTACATTAGCATTATCTGCAGTAATCTGCCATTGTCTCTGAAAAGTTTCTCAATGGAAATAAAAACTAGAAAATTGAAAGAAAATGGGGGAAAATTACTGAATGCCTTTAAGGCCAATCAACATATCAGTATGTGTATACAGTATTTGATAAATTATCTAAATTATGTAATCTCTGTAGGAAATCTCCAAACTAACAAGACTCTGAAACTGCAGGGATTTATCAAAACAACTGTAATGGTGATTTCTGACAATTCTGAATTTGAGAGATACTGGGGTGGTCTGATGAAAAACCAAGATTATAAGCCATTTAACATAAACCATAACTGTTAAACATACTTAAATGCCTTAAGATGTTGATTTTTGCAGGTTTTTTATGACATCTGTTGTAAGCCATTAATGTTCAGATTTTCTTCCATGATTCCCCTTGTTTACATGAACAATGTTTTATTTCTTCTATGTTTATAATTAAGTGGGTAGTGTACATGTATATGGTCAGTTAGAAACAAAATGAAAAATGCCTACATTTTACCTTTCTGATTAATGATGGTAGTTATTGTTTTCTCATGAAAATTTGTTTTACTAATCTTCGTTTATCTATTTTACCATGACATGACTGTGTATAGTTGATGTGCATAGTTGACAAATTAAAAAAAAAATTATAGTTAATTGCTGGAATGGTGGTTTGGTTTGTTTGTTTGTTCATTGGTTTGTTCTGTCAGTCATTCATTCATTCATTTGAAATAACATAGGGAAATTATTACACAATAAAAACTTGGTCAGCCTCTATTTAAATATGTTGAAAATTTTACATTTGATTATTTTGAAATAGAAATAATGTGTATGACCTTAATTTCTTATTTACATGTAGATTTGATATTATATGATGTTACTTAATGCAACCAATCGTTACTATATTTACAGTTGATGCCAACCCAGAGCCTGCCTCACCTGTACAGGGTCACTCTTCCAGTAACAAGCATGAATCACCACAAATCATTGAAGGACCACAAGATGAGTTTTTTGCCAGGAACCTGCCAGGAAGTCTGAATTGTCATGCCACAGGTAAGGCCATCAGGTCACACAAAAAGCTTAGTAAAATCACATTGGTCATACTATGGTTCAAAACTGTGTTAATTGATAAATTCCTGTCTCATCATCACAAATGATTTGATTATTAACACCCATTATGCCACAGAAATACTTTTAATTTTATTTCTCAAAAATGTTTAACAAAAACATCCTTTGCTTTTGTTGCTTTTGTTAATTAGTATAGTTATAGTGATTTTGTATGGAAATCAAAATACTACTTTGTTAACATTTGCTACTTTATGGTAAAAAAATTTTCTTCAAGTGAAAAGTATCTGACATTGCCTTAAAATCATTATTTATACATTTTAAAACTCAATGTTTGCCCTATCTAAAGATGGAAAAATCTATTCATTTCTTAAAGGAATAATGTGTCTTAAATGAGTTTTGTTGTATTGTAATAGTTATGTTGTATGTAATGTTATATATGAATAAAATCCATGTAGTTAATGACTCCAAACATTGATGGATCAGAAAGCAAAAATTTGTTTTGTTAATTAGTATAGTTATAGTGATTTGGTATTTTGTATGGAAATCAAAATACTAATTTGTTAACATTTGCTACTTTATGGTAAAATTTTTTTCTTCAGGTGAAAAATATGTGACATTGCCTTAAAATCATTATTTATACATTTTAAAACTCAATGTTTGCCCTATCTAAAGATGGAAAAATCTATTCATTTCTTAAAGGAATAATGTGTCTTTATGAGTTTTGTTGTATTGTAATAGTTATGTTGTATGTAATGTTATATACAGTCAAGACTGTCATATGTGACTTTCCAAGGGACCTTCTAAAAAAGGTCGCATATGACAGGGAGTCTCTAAATACAGTCTCAATATAATCTATCTGTCTATATACCAATGTGACTTAAAGAACATTGATATTGTTCCTGTGATCACGTATCTTGCAAAAAAATATATATGGATATAATTATGCAAATAAAACCATTTTCAAACATTAAAGAATATGTAAAATATTTATTGCAAAAATTTGTGCACATTATATTTAATCAATAAATTACATGCACTGATTTCTTATCGGAAAATTGACTTAGAATTTATAGAAAATAAAGTTCTAATTACCTCCCTTTAATGGCTTTTATTTACATTAAATGTTAAATTGGGTGATATCTTTCTAAATTATGCTTATTTGAACTTACAATATTGACAAATCTTAATTTGAGCATCATATTTATGAAATAAAACCGTGAAAAAATTGTGTTACAGGATCTTTACTGTAAACATATCCATATCCAAAGCTTTTTCTGGTTTGGTATCAATATTTTTTCCGTATTAATTATGCAGCCATAGAAAGGTAAATTAAAACAATGCTGCCTAAAAAATCTTCCATGGGCACTCTATAATAAAAAAAAAATCTAACACAAGTCTTAACCCAGTTTACTTAGGTAGTACATTACACACACATGATTGCATCATGATTCCCATGAACCGACGCTACGTCACTTGGTACCTACATGCTAACTGTGTAATTGAGATTGAAGTGTGTAGACTTTGTTTGCTAGCCTACAGTGCTGGATTATAATTGGACTTAATTAATTTGGCCCTCTGGGTGTTATAATAGTTAATCTGTATCTGATTAACGGACAATTAAAAGGTGTGAAAGTCGTTTAAATCAGACAAAACATTGCATTGGGACCAGACAATTAGGGTCGCTTGTCACATATGACAGGGAGTCGTTTAATTCAGACCATTTATATAGGAAAATACGTTGGGAGTACTGAAACAAGGTCGGATAAGACAGGGAGTCGTTTAAATCAGGGGGTCGCTTAGGCAGTCTCGACTGTATGAATAAAATCCATGTAGTTAATGACTCCAAACATTGATGGATCAGAAAGCAAAAACCTGTTTAAGAAAATGATGTTTATTTTGTACCATATCCTGTCAGAATGACTTGATGAATTATGGTTGTAACTGATATAAGATAAAGGAAGAAGATACATCAACTTTCCGCCAACCCTAATGATGTGTCAAATTTTCGTGGTATGGAAGAAAATTTTGCACAAAATGTAAATATTTGCACATGCATTTTGTGCAAGCAATTTACTCGAAATAACTGGCTTGCAAAAGCCTGAAACTTTATGCAATTTTCTGCATATTAATACATTCATTTCACAGCTTGTTACATTTACGATGTACTTAGATTACCGGTTTGCAATTTTATGTGTCTCTTAAAAAAAACGTGAAAATCTCCCTGAAACGTTTTTTTGGCAAATTTTGGAGACTGATCTCTTATAACTAACAGAATAACATCGTGAACTAAAATTTGAAATACTGTTTGTAGCTAATTATAAATTTTATTTTGAAAACTATTCCATTAAAGTTTGTTTAGAAATGCAATTTCAAGATATTACTGATTACGATAGCTACTTATTAAACTAGGGTAAGCAGAGCGGCTCCTGTTATGCATATAACTATGTCAGGTTTTTTTTAAAGCATATTTTTTTTCCGCAAATAATCCAATTGCAAAGATATAATGCTTGATAATGTTTAATAGTTCACTTTTTGAAGCAGTTTTTAGTTGTGTGTCTATAAAAAATAAAAGGATGTTATTAAAAGGTAAATATTTAACAGTAATTAATGCTGTTTACACAAGCTAGGAAGCAAAAAACTTAAAAACCCGCACACTCCTTATCAGGCCTCGTAATTCATAATGTTCAGTCATAAAGTCAGATTTTTATTGTAAAGATTAAAAGCTTTATGAAGCAGAAAGACACAAACATAGATTTCATTTTTTGTTTTATACAGTTTTTGTTCCTGCCACACACATGCAAGCGTTAAACCTTGTTAAGTCTGTTAAGTTATGTAGCAAAATGTTTTCAAAATAATAAAAATTGTTCAAATTCATGTTTTACTAGAAATTTTTAATTTTAGAAAATAGTTTCACAACAGTGCTATTGTACGGCTTGAGTCAAAAGCTAATAGTATTTCAATCTATATGCGGGTCGTTACAAAGAAAAATAATTTATATTGCACTAGCAGCTGCTCTTAAGAGGCAGAATGGTTTACTTTTTTTTTCCTAGGAAGATTAGTCAATTCAGTGACAATATATACATGTATAATGATGCTTAGTAGGGTGTCGTGTGAATTATATTTCACTGATAATCATGTTCATTACTTAGAGACATACCCAAATCATATAATGCAACATATAACTTATTTTAATACATGAATATTTTAGGAAATCCACCACCAACAATCACATGGTACCAGGACGGGAAGGAAGTAGAGTTTGACAAGGATCATTACAGGATGATGTTGCCGGCTTCTGGTCAACTATTTTTCCTCCGCTTTATTTACACGAAGAATCAAACTCATGTTGGAACATACCACTGTAAAGCTAAGAACATGTTTGGCGAGGCGGTCAGTAGAAGTGCCACTGTTAAAGTTTCAGGTTAGTTTAACATTAATGCCAATAATGCTATATTTGTGTTTGAATGTACAAAAGAATCAGTTTTGTTAATTTGAACATACCTAGTACGTCTTTGACACTTACCATGCTAAATATTTTTTAAATGGACTTGTCCGTCTTTGAATCTGGACATAACTATTTATAAGTTAGGGAAATTTTCAACAACAAAAAATTTCTGATAAAAAACTTGTTTAACCAGTGTTCCAAAGATAGTATTTTATTTGTTACCATAAGCATAAATTATGTTAATTGTCAATTTTCTATTACATTTTTTACATCTTGCCTTTTGGAAAAATGAACAGTCCACATATTTAAGAACCCATGAAAAATTATTGTGACAAAACCACAAAATTTCATGCGAATTCACAGTATTTTATTCTACATTACCTTCTTTTTGAGAAATTGAAGTTAACCTGACCTGATAAAATACTGTAATAAAACTGTATATTTTTCAATGAGAATAATACATCAAGTTGCATATTTTCCCTATCTATTTCCAATGCTCAGAATTCATTGAGTTTCTAATTTTAGCTGCAAATTCTCGTCTATTAGCCAAAGAAAACAATATTGTGGGAAAGTTAAGGGTACACCGAAGATTACCAAATTGATTTACATAATGATGTTTTTATTTAGAAATATGATACATGTGCCTGGAAGAGTTTTGGCACTTCTTTGTATACAAGTTCTTCCCACTTTTTTACATGATTCCGCAGTAAATTAGATATGTCAATGAAAAGAAAAGAATAGGCTGTTTCTCCTTTTTTTTTGGCGTAGACCGTGTGTACTAAAAGTGGTTGCAACTAAATCTAGATTTAGAAATAACCCTGGTGGTCTCTTTCTTCCTTGGCATTAGAAACAAAGCGGTTTTGAGGGAGTAAAGTAAATAAATACAATACTTGTCCTTCTGAAAATAAATGGGAGTTCATGTAGTGTCATGATCTAATCTAGAAATAATAGCTGATAAATTATAAAGTTGATATGTTAAAGTATTATGATGGAAAACACTTTGCTTAGTATTATCCAAAAGATTTTTTTTTAATTTTAATACTAGTTTGAATATTAGATAAGCTTTTTTTAAATGGGTGTCCAAGCAATAAAGAGTTTTTTTGTAAACCTTACTATACGCTTAAAGATCAATTGCTTTAAATTTAAATCAAAAATAAAGGCTAGAACTGTTAATAAGCTTTAACACTTACATAAACTTTTAACTGCTTAAGCTATTTAAATTCTCAAATACACTGGTACAGCATTCATTTTTGGAACGGTCCAATATCAATTTTGACTAAATCAAAATTTAAAGTTAGCCATTCAACAGTATAGAAACTTGTGAAATACCAGTGGCAAAGGCTTAGCACTTTTGGTTTCAGCAAGTTAAGGCTCAACTTCAAGTTCAACTACAGAGTTCTTCTTATGAATGTTTCATCAAATAACATTACAGTAAATATTTTTCAGGTCAATGAAAAAAATGAATTTTAAACAAATGTTAGGGATTGAAGAATTTCGTTCTAATTTCTCATAGGAAAGTATCCCAAATATTTTGTCAGGTCTTACCTGATAGTAAATGTTAATGTTTGAAGCTGTGAAATCAAGTAAAAAATAGATGTGAAGGTCATAAGTGCGACATGAAAGTTTTATTTTGGATGGAGATGAAATTATTAGATATAATAGTCTGAATTTTAGCACCATTTTCTCCTGTGAAACAAACCAACATTATGTCTGTTTCTTGTCTATACAAGCAAGGTGTCATGTACTGATGACTATCTATGACATGTTTGTTAAAACACAATCTACTAAAAGCTGAGGTAGTGTTGGAATAAGGAAGTATGTTAAATATCATTTGATGACATTATTGAAACATACACAGGTCATTATTTTTTTGAAAAAAAAATTTCAGTATGAAAATTAGTGACATGGGTCATTGTCAACGCAGAAAAAACGCTGACAATTCTTTTGCAAATTAGAAATGCTTTTTGCATTTGAATACATACTGTAATTGAATATAGATAGGGCATAATGAAAAAAATAAGTCATGGAATGGTAACAGAAATAAGTGTAAAATATTTTTTCTGGAGCTTCATGTCCAAGAGGTCAAGGTTGCCAACTTTGAACCACTTGCCCCTTATTTCTTTGGTTTGTTTCTGAGTCCTGTCAAGTAGGCATGCAGATGTTTTACTTTTGTGTCTACCCAGTGGTTAAATAATGTAACTGAAGACTTCCTCCATATTAAAGTTTGACAATTGTCAAATGACCTAATTAATGTTGAATAATCCCAACAGCACCAACAACAAACACACAAAACCATAACTGCTTTTCCCTTTAGTTAGCATGTTTATAATGTACCCTGGATAAGGCTTCTTACTCCTTTGCCACTGTGTCCTATGGCCATGCCATCTGATCATGTTCTAAATTATTTATTATTTAGTGTGTACATATTTTGACATTTTCCCTGAAAAATGATGAATGGTTAAGTCCAGATTGAAAGATATAATTATAGCATGGTATGGATTAAATAAAATACTGAATGGAGGCAGATCACTAAGTTTGTTTTAATTTGAATGTAAATTGTGTAAGAATTTAAAACCTTAAAATGTACAGATCTTTAGAAAAAACACTTCATGAATATTCATTACATTTAAATTATTTGGATATTTTTTTTAAAAGTAAAAGTATTAAATCTTCTTGTAGAAAATTAAAACCCTTTTAAACTGACTTTGATGGGTCAAAGATGCAAGGTTGCAGGCAGAATGGAGGCGTCTTTTGACATGAAAGCAAAAGAAAAGTCTCCCTTTAAATCTAATCCAGTTTTGATGCATGAATGCTAGTGCTTCTTTCCTCCAATTTTTCCATTAATTTTGTATTGTTTTGCGGAATTCAATTTGTAAGCAGTGACGGTTTTTAGACCAACCTGATCACTCAAATGCTTGTTTTCAGAGAAAAAGACCACATTTTTTACATGATGCAGAATAAGCGTTTTATTCTGTTTCCTTGAGGCTTGTGTATGGAAAAAACTCTGTATCCTCCAGAAGCTTTTAAAGTAATGTAGTGATAATCAGCAAATGGACAAAAATCAAGTCTAATAAAATATCTGTCAAGCATTTTTACAGTCTTATCAGCATTTGTTGGCTATAAAGTACCCAAAGTCCATGTGTTTTGATGGATTTGGGTAAATAAAATTTGGCATATGATTTTATGTGGGATAGGTGAATGCCAGGCACTTTGTGACAGGGCAATCTGATTTACAAAGACAATTTGCAGTATTTTATTTAGTCAACGCTGTATTAATTGGCTGACATGATGAACTGGGTATGATAAGTCGGCTTATTTAATGGCTGCCTGACAGTATAAACTACTTGTAAAACCGTTTGTTGCTATACATACTTCATGTCAATTAGGATGGATTTGGGTTTTATCAGCGTCTCATAAAACATGTCATGTTATTCTACAGTGGAAATAAATGGCCTCCCTGTATGTTTGGATGAAGTCTGCAATAAAATCTGGTAATATTTTGATATGATTCCCAATTGTATGGCTTTAATGCTGAGTATTATAGTGGTAAAAAAAATCATATATTTAGAAGAGATGATTGAATCACAAGGGTATTTTTTGGGCCGCCTTATATGTTTTTATGTTAAAGAAAGAAACAAGAGTAAATTTTGTGGTAGGAACAAAATCTGGCAGACTGTAAGTGATGTTTATAGCGGGGAATATTTTGGTATCTGATGATCTAGACACAGGGGTTTGCCAAATAATCTCAACAAAACAATATAAAAGCCATGAAGAAGCAGTCTGTGCTTTTTCATCACCGACAATTGAAATTCTGCAGATTATGCGATTTCATTATTATATGAAAACAGTGGTTCTAAACTATGTGGTACAATCATGATATTGGTTAAAGAGGTATGTCACAAGAGAAAGATTGCATTGTGATCATAAGTTTAGTTTATACCAATTTATTTTTGTTTGATTGTGTTGGAATCTAAAGGCTTATTGAAACACTCTTGAATCTGTCCAGCAATAAGCAATGAGCGTAAAGTTGCTTGCTGTAATACTCTACTGTATTTTATGGTAACTTTGCTATAGAAATAAAACGGTCCAAGTGGCAGCACATCCTTAATTAAAAATTAGAATTTACCTTTTCATAGGGCGACTAGAAATTGGTCACATTGTTTTCTTACTATTACTGTTTTAAATGTATTATTTTTAAAATATTGTAAAATGTTTATGACCATCGCACAATTTTAAAATACATATTTATGTTTTGGTTCAATTTTCAGTGATCAAAGACGACTTCCGACAAGAACCAGTAGACACAACACGATCTATACACTCTACTGTAACCCTGCACTGTAGACCTCCAAGAGGGGAACCAGATCCTACAATCTCATGGCAACACAACGACCGACCTGTACAATTAGGAGACAGAATCACGCAACACAAGGACGGAGATCTGACAATTACCACACTGACAACACAGGACAGCGGGGAATATGTATGTTTGGCAACTAACACGGCCGGAGTACGACAGAGCTCACCAGCGCAGCTTAAAGTTCTAGGTTAGTGTGATACTATTTCATTACTGGTCATTAATGATTATTCCTTGAAAATGCATAGCTGTTAATACATTTTATATAATATTTTATATTTCTTATTCAAATATTGTCATTTTGAAAAAATTTACTGATTAAATTCAAAAGAGATTCTCTTGAATCAGATGATATCTTTTTGCACAAAATTCATCACCTTATTTTTGCATTCTTATTTCATCATGCAAAAAAAAAAAAAATTATGTATTATTGAAGCTAGTGTTTATTTAAAACCTTTGTCATATTTGGTTACAGAAGTTCCAGAAATAACCGGTTATCCGGAGGGTGTAGTGGCAGAAGAAGGTGCTACGATAGAATTTCACTGTGAGGTACTTGGTGAGGCTGATATAACATGGAATAAAGAGGGCAGTACGGTCAAACAGCAGAACTGGCATCAGTTACCAGACAACACACTACGTATAGAGAATGTCAAGGCAGACGATGAGGGAGAATACATCTGTACCGCAAGAAACACAGCCGGTGCCGTAAAGGCAGCCGCCACTCTAAAAATAGAATGTAAGTAAAAATTATTTTAAATGGTACAATGGAAAGTATATGGACTGTAAATTTCCATATATCGATTTACATACAAAGATACAGAAGTTTTTCTTATTAGAGTTTTACTTGAGAAAATTTTTCTCAAGGCAAGGAATAGCAATGTTCAACAAAACAAATTGGGTGTCTAAACATTGACTTCTATTTGGCGTGTTTAAGTCACTTCTTTTGTTATTAACTGAAGAAGCTTATAAAAGCAAAATATGTCTTGACACATTGTGTTATGTCATGAATCTTTTTCATTAGGAACATTATTTTATACAAAGATCACAATATAACTTTTTATTTCTGGAAGTATCATTTGTTCAATATAATTATTTCACTGTGTTCAACAGGGTTATTTCTAATTTATAGATATCTTCTTTGTTTTTCAGACACACCACGATTTTTAGTGAGACCTCATAATCAGGTGGTAGCAGTGGGTCGTACCATTTCTCTACATTGTTCGGCAGCCGGCTACCCTCAGCCAACCATATATTGGGAGACCAAAGCCCAGGATGTATGAACATATAGTGATGATTTGTTAAAAATAAGACATTACTTTCTGTTAAAATCATAAACTCAGATTTAAATGTTCTTACTAATGGCAGCATTGTTCCAGAGATTAAGGTCACTGATTCAAAATCACTTACAATTCATAGCTATGATTGAATATCCTACCAGAGTATAAATCCCACCAAAGAGTTAACATTCTTTCATTATGGACAGTTGTCTAGTTAGCTTAGAGAAGATCAATTGCCCTATTTACATGCCTCTACAAGGCCGTCGTCGATGGTCCGGCCGGTCCGGCCTTGGCCGGACCAATATTTTGGCCAAAAATGAGTAAAATAAATTAAAAAAAAAAAACACGCATCGCTGATTAGCAATTTGACACTTAACTGGCCCCTTATGCAATACGCGGTAACATACAAACATGACGCGAAGATACAAATGGACACTGTTAATTGACTAGGTATATGTAGGGGTCCTACGAAGTCAAGTGTGAAGTTAATTGACATCGACAGTTCACTGTATATACATGTATATATGTGCATTATGAATATCTTGAACTAGTATGCCTGAATTCTCCGAGAACTTGATAATATTTTATTGATTGTACACGGCAACCGTTCAAAAGTCATATTTTTATCACATATCCGTGCCGTTTTTGCGACTCCTTGAAAATGGTATTGCACGGCCGTGCAAATATTTTGACGTCATTTGCGTTATACACACTATATAAATGTTAGCGTTTTTCTATGGGCGTCAATGAAAAATGGTTCTTTTTCACTTCAAAAGGTACTTATTTTTGGTATGTAATAAACAGAATATTGAATTCGTGTCAGTTCATTACTGAATTTATTGAACTCGTTGAATAAAATATTATACTCGCCAGAGGCTCGCATAATATATTTTCATTCAACTCCTAAAATAAATTCAGTAATAAACTCATTCAATTACTCCATTACATAATTACATAGAGGATATTTGTTTGTTTTGCATGTAAGATTGTAATATAATTTCACTGAGTGAACACCAGATGCAATATTTTCACGAGTGGCGTAGCCACGAGTGAAAATATAATAGCTGGTGTTCACGAATGAAATATATTTCAATCTTATATGTAAAACAAATAAATTTTCTTTTTATTTCATGCTTTTTAAGTGATTTTAAGTATCTTATTACTGATTTTGCCGCGTAACGTCGTGCATTCTCCTTTGTGACGTCATCACATCATGACGTCACGTCATCAATTTTGAAATATAGTTCTGTTAAAATTCTCTAATTTTGTTACATTTTATAACATGATGTATGATGACATCGACTTTCTTTTCCTAAAGAAACAAAATTTACGTATTACGGCATTTATTTCTGCCTGTTATTCCATTTAGTTATGATTTTCTTTTCATCCGCATTCAGATATAGTCCGGCTACAGTGAAAATTATATTTTATAAATTTCACTAGTGGTTTATCGGAATATAATCATCTGATATATTACAATAAAACACTGGAAAACATGAAATAAAGTGCAGGACGTGTTCCGGCCTAAGTATTTTGAAGCAATCGATCTTGCCATGGCCAGTGTTAAAGAGAGATTTGACCAACCGAGATATCGCGTACTTCAGAACGTGGAGGATTTATTTATTAAGGCCGCACAACCTTTGAAGACCGTTCACTAGAAAACTTGGTTTTGTTTGTGATTCATATGGTAACGATATTAAACGAGACATCTTTGAGGTGCAGCTTCAGCTGTAACGTTCACATTTTGACAAATCAGAAAATAGTACTGTTACTCTACCTGACGCTTTGAAATTTGTGTCAAAACAATCGGTGCTAGAACTGAGGTCGTTGTGTTGTTAAAAAATTTGTTAGTAATGCCTGCTACTAATGCTACCAGTGAAAGGACATTCTCGGAGCTCAGAAGAATAAATGTGAAAATACACAGGGAGATGTAAGAACGGCGAGTGCATTGTTGTAGAATAATGCACGCTTCGGACGTGCTTTGTTTATATAGAAAAAATTCCGATAGTGTTAGAATGTTTATTTTTCATTCGCCAAATACCAATTACATGTATTCATCTTTTATGTTCACCTGCCCGTCCGTTATGCAAACCTTAAATTTCACCCTTAAAACTTACGACGCACTTAAATCTGTAAAAAATCGTTGACATTTTACTATAACATGTTCTATCGACAGGCTGTAAAATGTGCCAAATATACGGGAAAACGCCCCTGAGAGCATCCTAGAATAAAAAAATTTCCGGGGGAGCATGCCCCCGTACCCCCCTAGATTCTGGCTAAAATCTACCAAATTGGCCGCACCAATCACAAAATCGTGACGACGGGCCTGCTCTACCAGTAAAGTTGAAAAGTTGTATATATAAATTTTGTAAAGATATTTCACTAGATGTAGCTTTATGCCTTTTAATATAGAAAGAAAAGTATATGACTAAGTGTGTATAATTGTTGATTATTTTTAGGTTCTCATGTTTGTCAAATACAGAGAGGGAAGATTCTCCGTGTCCGAGGATGGTACGTTAAGAATCGAGCGAATACAAAAATCTGACCAGGGCTCTTATTCTTGCATTGCTTATAGTTCCAAAGGAAAAGCCCAGGCTTCTGTTGATATCAGTGTTCGAGGTATAAAAATACTTTTATAAAGAAAATTTCTGCATTGAGATTATCTTGTGTTTAAGATTATAGTTAACTTCAGGATTATCTCGTTTGTTTGACATTATATTTGCGTTTTAATCAGTTCCTACATATTTTATTGGTCGTATAATGTGTTACGAATATATAGTGAATAATTAGCAGAACTACTTTTTGTCATTCTTACACAAATAAATTGCATAATTATGATACATTTTAAGGCCCTATGTTGTATGTTTCGTGAATTTTATAGATCTTGTTTCATATGTTAATGGTCGCACCTCATTAATGTAATAATGAAGTGTGTATTTTACACGCAAATAACACTATGCTTTTATATGAACACATATTTATCTAATCAGATCACATGCTTGCAACAATGTTATAATGACTTAATGCCTTCCAGTCTGAAAATAAATCTGGAAAAAAATGTGCTTATTAACTTTGTATATTTCTAAGGCTTGTTTCATTATGCGTAATTAGGCATCGTTTTATCATGTTGTAGTGAGATAAAACTAATAAGTCAGCAGTATGAAAGTGCATGTCAAATAAGTGTAAAAAAAGGTGTGCTGTGGTTGGTCAAAAAAAAAAAATCAGTAATTACTTTACATTTGTTGCAACATCTATACTTGTTGGTAACAAATTTTAGAAAAAATTTCCTCTCATTTTCAAATTTCACCTTCAATGTTCTCATTCTGTAGTTTACTTATTTTCAATCAAAATTTAACTTTTAAAAGACATTTAGACATAAACAATGTGAATGATCTTGTTTCCTACTTATATTAAGTTAGAAAATATGTACAAAGCATATTAACAGAAGAGCTCTATTTTTTCAACATCAGATGTGATTCCTGTGAAATCTTTAATTGGAATTAAGGAAATGAAAAAGAAAAAATGAAAAGATATAAAACACTTCAGTAAAACTGTAAGGATGCTATTATAATTCGAATTCATATTACACTCGAAAATTTCAAAAGAGAAAGAAGGAAAAAACAGATCGTTTAGCACCGAAGCCGCCTCCTTGTTGAGGTGTTAGGACAGCTGTATGCTATGATATGATGTAGTGTTTTAGACAGTTTTCACGATTTTTTTTCACAACATTCGAGTTAATTTTCTCTGAGTCACGTTCCTCATCATTCCTCATCCCGCGTTAAAAAAGTTAATTATATGATTTCTTTATATCAGGGTAACTGGTGGCTTCTGTGATTATAATGTTTATATCTGCTGCCAAAAGTTTATTTTTGAATTTAAAACATACGAGGCAGAATTTGTTATCTTACGGCATTTTTGTACTCGGGTGAGATAAATAAATTTGTCAATTATATAACGATTAACTTTTTATTAATAATGTTAATTTTCACACTTTTTAATATCAATGCCCTTCTAGCGTAATAGTAAATGCTCTGCTTTGAAAGGAATGAAAACAAAATTACTGAAATATGAAAAATTTAAATATTTAAACATGAAATTTTTTTTTTTTGGCATAAGAGATTAAGTATATTCCTACTCTTTTTTTTTTGACAAAACTGTTGAAAATTCATTATATCATTGTGAAATTTATAAAAATTGTAGAGATATCAATTTTTTTAGGAGCATTTGGCAATTTAAAATTAGTCATATACGGAACATATTAAAATATCAAATGTAATATGTAACGATACTCTGTTATTTGATTGACTATGACCAAAACTTTGTTGTTTTTTATTTTGTGAAATAACAAGCAGGCCCCTATATTTGTACAGTTGGGTACAAATCCATCAGCAAAAACATTACTGGCTCTTTTCAGATTTATTTATCATTATGCACTTACTAAAATTTCGCACCCCGCTAATGAAAATGAGATGTAACGTCACTTCGTAAAGCATGTCTGCACGTGTTTTACAAGATTGAAACATTTTTGTGTGTAAATTGCTTCATATTTATGTGGGTTTTATGTGTTTATAGCTTATGAGCGAAACCATTCCTCACGTGAATGTATGATTTTATTATTTTCATCGTGTGTTTGCCATTGAAAGTGTTGTTTTTTTCATCAACTTTTTTCTATTATTCTATAATAATCAGAAAAGTACACGTTTTGAGAGACACTTAGAAATGTTTCTAAAATTTTATCCAGGAAGATAACAAATTCATTGATAAAAATATTTTAAACTTATACAGGATTACAAGGAAATTGACAGAGAATCGAAAAAACACATGCAAGATTTTTTTCTTAAAGGCCCATTATGCCCGTGACATAATTTTTATTTCTCAAAAACTTTTTTATTTTTACTATATTGCAACAGTTCTCCAAATGTTACTCTGAACTCATTTTTACATCTTTTGAATGATTTGTTACTTTTAAAATGAGCTATCTACTATAACAATAAATATATAGGTCTATTGAAAGTTTTTTATTTTGCACTTTCTTTTATTTTCCTTTCCTTGCATTTTGGTTGAAATCAATGTTACATTTGAGAAAATCAAATTTAGTTTTGTGTCTTCACGATTTTCATCACTTTTATTGTTTTTGCTTTGTTGTTTTCTATTCCTATTGTATTTCTATTAGTTTATTTTGCACCCTTAGTTTACCTGTTTTTCTATATTTTGTCTTTATTTCTTTGCTTTTGAGAGAGACTTGGAGATAAAAAAAAGGAGAACAATGAAACTATTTGAATTCATTAGATCTACACTTGTTAAATTTTTCCTTACTTTTGTGGCTAGTAAAAGAAATTAAAAAAATAAATTCCTACAATGCTTACCTTACTGGAGCCAGAAGCGATTAGGGTTTTCCACCAGTAAAGAGCTAGCCCAGCCTGTACATCCATGCAGACTGAACAGGCTCTATACTGTTGGCTGACTAACTTCAAATTTCATCTAAATATCACATAAATTGGTAATGAAGTTTAAAAAGATGAAATATTGACATTGAATTAAAGAAAGTAAAGCAGGAGGAAAAAAATGTATTTCTCCGAATTTTCAATGAAAAATATACAGAAATATTCATCTTCATTTACTTGTTTTATAGAGTTGTACATTAGATATAGAACATTTATAGTATAAATATTTATCACCTTTTTCTGCTATAATGTCTAGACTATTCAGCAATAAAATAAGTCTGGATAAAGGAAGGAAATCTTAACTCTTGCTTTTTATTTGATTGATTAGATTGTTTATTGATTGGAAAAGAAAATCAAGTTGTTTGTACATCTGCTATTTTACTAGGAGTAGAACTTGATTGTTATTTTATTCAAGAACAAGTTCCAAAGATCTTACTGAAACAATGTTTTGTTTTGGAATTGATTTTATTACAAAAGGATTTTGAAACCAATCACTATTAAAAGCTTTAACGAAAAAATTATAAATTACAGAAACTGTCAGTAGGGTACAGTATTTTGAAGATTTTATTAAAAACAAATGAGTAAGAGAAAAAACTTAAGATAAAAAGCAAGGTTTTTAATATCTCTAAGTCTCTTGCATTTATTCTTGTATACACAGCTACCCTGCATGATTGTAACACCCTGTACATCCCTTAACATCTTCCATTTCTGGCACACTTTTCAGAGGAGAATGACGTTATTTTTCCAGACAATGACCTTCGGCCTCCGCCGATCATCAGGTTCGGACCAATCAACCAGACTTTGGAAGAAGATGCTGTAGCTCTGTTACGTTGCCAGGCAACCGGAGATCCAAAGCCAATCATCCGCTGGTACAAGAATGGTCGCTCACTGGACAAGAAGGATGCTCGCTATTTGTTGCTTGATTCAGGAACCTTGCAAATTTCAAGTATGACTTTGATTAGATCATATCGTAGGCTTGATGTGAAATGGTTATAACTCCATCATTATGATATATGAGTATACAGCTGAACTGCATCAAGCTCTTGAAATTCTTCACAGTTAGTATGGCAAAAATGGAGTGAATAGCTTGTGTAAGACATGCTTATAGACACCATTAATATGGCAAAAATGGAATGAATAGCTGTGTTTAACATGTTTCTAGTTGATTGATAAGCTGAAAACATGATTGCACAAAAAATCTTCAAGTAGGCTATATCTGCTTTTTCTTTTCACTTTGGCACAAACATAGTTTTGTGAATTGCAAACAATGAAACACTTGGCAGATGAAAAGTTGGCGATGAAAAAAGGTGTGAATTTTATGACTAGAACTAATAGGCCCTTCATTTGTGGAAATAATTACTATCTAAGTTACATTGTTCATTATGAGATATTAGGGTGCCATTTTGATTGAATATTATTTGTTAAGATTAAATTCTCTTGTAGCAAAAGAAATAAATCTGCAACAGTTTTTCTGATTTGTTCATCTGAGAAAAATTTATCATTGCATTTTCAAAATATTTGGCGCCAAGTGGACTGTTTCATTTTTATTTATTTCATCAAAGAAATGCAAAAAAAATATGTTTATTACAGTTATCATTTTGATTTTTTTCTTCTTTCCATTGCAGGTTTGAAAATTTCTGACTCAGGCAATTACATGTGCAAGGCTGGTAGTGAAACAGGGGAAACAACTATGTCAGCAAAATTGATTGTTGAATGTAAGCATTTACTTCCCTTGGTATTAACAAACGATCAAAGAATTCGAATGGAAAGTTCTTCTTGTATTTGTTAATGTCTATTTGAATCACTGTTTTGGGATTCAGTTCAATAAAGTCATAAGTTTTTACTTCTTTAATAATAAAAGAATTGTTATATCCGTGAGTGTTTATTTTAATCATTAATTGAGGATTCAGTATTGTGTATTCAGTTAAAAAGAAAAGTCACAAGTTCTTAATTTATTTCTTCTTTATGTTTGTAGCTGAGGGGAGGAGTTTTATAAAAACTCCGCCAGATCTTACGGAGTTCCCGGCAGCCCCTGAGAAGCCTATTGTTAGTGATGTTACAGACACAAGTATCAGGTTGACATGGGAACTGATCAGAAACACAGGGGCATCACCTGTTGAGTCATACCAAGTAGAGTACTTTGCTTACGGTCTGTCAGAGGTAGGATTTATATTCAGTTTATTCTTTTATTTTTTCACATTTTTATTATAAGTGAAGCAGAAAGGCTGGTGGTTCTACACAAGTCCATTGTCTGGTCCGAAGTGAACAAGCTTAAAGTGTCAAAGGAGCTTAGAATACCAACAAAACCTTAACTTTTCATACCTGTCCATTTTGTCTAAGGTCAGAATTATGGGCTGTGGCTTAAATGGGTTCCAAGTTGCTTGTAATCAATCAGTAGTAAAAAATGATATACTGGTGCCTCATGTTTCCAAGGTACTTTCATGTAAAACACACACAATTAGAGATTGAATAATAAAATTCTAGAAAATGTCTATAAATGAGGAAGGAAAGACATGCTAATTAAATCAGATTTAAATCCATTTAATGTTTACATTTGGAGATCATGTACACAAATCTAGGTGGCGTCAGAGATTGTTTATACCAAATAACTCGAAATTATGGGTAACACAGAAATACGAGGCAAGAGTGTAATACAAAAATATGCTCTATTATCCTTGGATGCTTATTTAGGCTTATCCACTATTTGTTATTTCTTTTAGTTATGATTTATATCATTGATTTAGTTTTCATCATGTGTCTGTTATATCTTATAGTCGTGGAAGAATGCCGGGGACAAGTATACTGAAACTGATGTAATCATACAAGGATTGGTTCCCAACACAACTTACATATTCCTTGTGAGAGCAATAAACAGCCATGGAAAAGGGGGACCCAGCCCACTGTCTGAGATTATTCGAACACTTGGTAATTATAATTGTTCATTATTCATCTTAATTTCATTGGAATTCAAGAACATTGGTAATTCAAATAAGTTAACATGTTTCATTTAATAATAAATGAAAAAAGTGTTAACATATTTCACCTAATAATAAATGGAAAAAAAAAACAACATTTATCTTTAATTTGAATTTTTCAACAAAGAGTTGATGCAGAACTGAAAAGGACTTGTTCCTGGTCTTTTACTACCTTTTATTGGGAACCAAGTAACATTGTATTTGTATTTACAAGATTATATTATCAATATGATAAAGTTGAACAACTTGAAATATAAATTTTTTTGCAATCTAGTTCATTTGTCATGGCGTAGACCTGGCCTTATTATTATTAGTTAGACTTACTGTTTAACAGAGAGTGAAGCCAGTGTTGTAATAACTATATTTTGATGATATATAACTATTTTGATTCAGACAAAGGACATGATATGGTACCAAAGGTAAACCTTCCTGTGGATGAAATTAAAAATAGGTTACGGGATATTCAAGTCTCCTTGCTACGTGGTGGAGCTGTTAACTCCAGTGCTATCAGAATTAGTTGGATGGTAAGCGAAAACAGGGGCTATAACTCTGTTACTAAACTTTCCAATCTTTGTTTAATTCCAGGATTTTTATATTAACTTTTATATGATAATGTAACAAACATTTACATATAAAGTATTTCATCATTGAATTATCAAAGCTGGATACACTTATATAAGTGGGGTGGAGTTTAATTAGTAAAGTGCATTGAAATCTCTGTAGTTAAATTCATTTGCAACCTATTTTATTTTATGTTTGCTTTTCATTTACGTATATCTTTGGGAAAAGTTTATAATGACAGTTTAAGAAAATTTGTATTGAACTAACGGAAAAAGTTTTTTTTTTAAGTTAAAAATCAGAATCATTTTCTATTTTGAGATTATTTTAATTCAAAAAGAATTTGTTTTTAGGTGAACAATGAGAACAAGGTTGTTACAGGATTTGTGGTCCAGTACAGGCACATCCTGAACATGGGTGACCGATTTGACCATCGATACGGTCAAACTGTGATCAAACGTGTCCCATATAGACCTTTGTCACATATCATTACTGGGCTAGAGAGTTATGAATATTATGAAATATGTGTAATGGCAGCCAGTGACACTCTGACATCACCATGTAGTAAACCAATGAAAATACAGTCTGGTGAATCAGGTATGACATACAGGTTTTGAAATTGATATAATTATTTATCTAATTTTGATGAATCTACTTAAACTAATATTTGTCAGGTTTTTAGCTTATACTTTGTATTAATATTTACATTTACTTACCTAGACTTCAGTGTCTGTATCCATGTCAAAGTCATTTCGGGTCCATTATTTAAACCATCCGCAGGCTTTAAGAACCCATTGAGTTATTGTTTTAATAATATAAACTTGACACACGTTTAGACAATGGGTACATAACTCTGACATGTATTTTGATATTGTTATGTCCCCTTATTTAGCTTACAAGATTTTAAAAGTTTGGCACTATTCAACTTTAAAGTTTGCAATTTGTTATATGTTGTTTCTGCTTCTGAAGTCCATGTGTCTTTCTTGTTACAGTTCCAACACGACCACCAAAGGATACTGTTATACAGAGAATAAGTGACTCGGAAGTTATAGTGAAATGGTCTGCACCCGATATAGAGCACCGGAAAGGGGAAATCATTGGTTATCAGGTATAAATAAATTTATTTACCTCTGCATGATGAAAGTGCGGCAAATATTATCTTCTGCATATAAATCAATATGTTATTTTTTTATAAAATTGATAAGTCCAGATAAGGATTAGTGTGGTAATAACTTAAGGGACTGAAATGTCACTTTGAAATACCGAAAAAATCAAGATACAAAATTAAAGAAAAAACAAATATATTTTAAAGAAGAAAAAAAATCGGGACTTTCAAAATTGGCTTGAGATAATGAGGAAACAAGAAAAGTGATGTACAGGTAATGATAGTTGAGTAAAATAAGCTTTATATAATCCTTGAAATGTCTTAAAACACAAAATGAAAATTTAATTCCATTGTTTTCTCCACAGATCAAGTGCAGGAGCGAAGATGGTGTACACAACTGTAGTAAACACACAAATGGTTCCACTTATGAAATAAAAATAGAAGGACTGGTTCCCGGTGTAAACTATAATATTGAGATAGCAGCACAAACACAGAAAGGCGTCGGAAAATTTAGTTCTGCTCTAACTGTTGGTAAGTCAGAAAAACAACTTGCAAAAATGTAGAAATAATGCCAAAATCAACAACAATAAGTGACAGATAGTATGAATTGTTTATCAAATAAAATGAGTTTTATTTATGTGTATTCCAGGACCCAATGTTAATTTTAACAATCCTGGTTACCTGACCTAACATTGAGTTTAATTATGCTGTTTACAGGGCCTGATGATAATCAAATCACAAAGAAGGCATGGTTTATTGGTATGATAGGAGCATTGGGTGGTATCCTGTGGCTAGGATTGTGTATATTTACTGTATGGTTATGTAAGAGTAGAAAAAGGAGGAAAAAGTTGAAGGAGCAATGGTATACTGGTGGTCCCAGAACAAGTGACAAATCCCAGGACAGGTGAGACAAGTGTTTTTGTACACTAATTTACTATATTGAATGAAGTTGTAAATCTAATTAGGAAATAGAATACAGGAATATATTTAGTCATGGTAGCTTGCATGATTCTTTTAGTGCTCAACTCTAAGCCTCCTGGCTGCAAATATCATTGTGCTGTCATCAATGTCTGCACTGTTCACGATTCAATCAATATCTGTATTTAAGTTTCCCCTTAATATAATGAATGATCTTGTCCATATAAGATATCTAGCTTGGTAGGGGTTATCGATAGAAAAGGACACAAATTTTGACTTTACTAAGATGAAAATTATGGCTTGCCTGATAATCATTTATATTTCATGCATCATTTGAAATGTGCATAAGCACTTTTGAAAATCTGTTACATTTGCCTGGCAACTCCAAATATTCTCAATAGGAAGCTTTTCAGGTAGTTTACAAAAATGTTTATGGTTCTACCTTGATGCCAGAATCTGCCGGAAGTTATACCTGACTGATCTTGCTAGTTGTTAAAATGTGAAAGTGTAAATGTTGGTTACAACTTTTCTTTTTAATTTGCTTATTATTGAACAACATAATGCTTTATTAAATAATGATTGACTCATTTGATAATTTCAGGAATGGAAGTGTTGTTAGGAAAGGCTATGGTGTTAAAGATGGCAACTTTCAGGATACTAATGGTAAGGAAATTTTATTAGTCACATGACTTAGCAAAAGGACAAACTGGTTCTTGTTAAATTACATTGTAATGCCATTACTGATATCAAGTAATGCAAAAATTAAATTTTTTATTCAATTTCCTTGAAATGAATATTGAATTCATTTAAGGTTTGAAAATATTGAAATCTCTGTTTTATCAGAAGAGAGTCTTAATAATGTAAATTGGCACAAATATCAAGTGATACTTAACAAAAAGTCTAGACTTGAAAACTTTTGGTTTTCAATTCAATAATTTATGACAGAAGGGAAAAAGAAGGCAGACACACTCTTGAAATACATTATGGGTAATCTTGAAGAGTACTATAGATAATCTAGAAATGCATTATGGGTAAAGTATAAGGATAAGGGGAAGAGCCATAAATCAGAAAAACTAATTTAAAAATACAATGTTTTTCCCACTGGTTAGGCAAACTAATTAGCACTTATTTGTGGAAGACAGTTAGGACACTAGAGATGCTCTTGTGTTAATTAAGAGTTGATTACTAACAAATGAATTTAATGGTTTACAAAAAAAACCAGGGAAGCACTTAGCATTGTACTAATAGGACATGAGAGAGTTACGGTTACAAATTATTTATAAATGATTTAGAGAAATGTGTTGCATAATTTGGGGGTCTTGATATAGTTTATAGAAATGGTTTATGTAGCTGTAAACAATGGTTAAAAAAAGTGTTTTATGAAGCTGAGAATTTGTGTGACAAGCATTTTATGACATTTTATCTTCTTTTTTTTTATCCCTTAAAGATATACTATGCTCAATTTTGATATTAATAAATATTGATATTTGGTACACAGTCTCTTTGTAAATATAGAATAAACATGTTTTTACTTCACTCAAAGTAGGTATGTCCTGTTTAAAATTCTACACACCATAGGTGGTCAGAATATGAATACAGTATATAGTGTCATTAAAAAAAACAACTGGCAATTTTTTTAAGAAAAAAAACAACTGCCTGTCCTGTAATAGGGAACATGACTTCAAATACATAGTTTATACATTCTTTTATTCAAATTAGACATATTCATTAAGAATTTGATAGATGTCAGTAACTTCTGTGAGTAGAATATTTTATTCAAAGGTAAGTATAGTATATCTTTAACATGGAACATACCATCTAAAGTTTAAAGGCTTTTAATGTCAATATACAAAAATTGAGCTACCAACAGTATCCAGACTGGTGAGATTAGACAGGTATACAGGCTACCCTGAAAAAAGTGGCTCTATACTGGTGACAAAGGATGATCTCTTTCAGTTCAAGAAGGTTAAGTGTTACAATGATTACAAATGATCGTTATTTTATGAAAATGCGTTACTATTTTAGATGGCATTTTATGCAAATGCATCATTTCTATTTTAAGATGGCAATTTACCGCCGGAGTACAACACGTTATTACAGCAGTCACAACATGAGAGTAGTGATAACCAGTCGGATACGATGTATAACATGGCTAACCATCCTGAAATGAAGACGTTCTATCAGCAGTCCGGTCCTGTGACCCCTTATGCCACTACGGCACTGCTGCAGGCACAGGCTCAAGCACAAAACTCAAGAAAAATGGTAATAGCTTGATATGTAATTGGTTGCTGTTGTTTATTTGGGTGCAAATAAGGAATTTATTGACAGATAATAATGTGTACAGTGTAACTTCCGAATTCCGGAACTTCTGAAATCCGGAAACTTCTAAAAACCGAACAATTTTTTCGGTCCCGATTTTTTCCCTTCTATTTTCTATTAATATAATACTTCTGAATTCCGGAACTTCTAAATTCTGAATTCCGGACGATATTTTCGTAAAATTAGAGTCAAATCAAGGCAATTTTACCTCCAAATACCGGAAATATCCAAAGGTGTGAAATACATCGTAAATCGAGAATGTTTACCCTGCAGGAAGATTTAATCTCCCTATCGATTGCTTACTAATTAGCGGTGATCGTGTAATTTGACACGCGTTAAAATCACAAACTGAGAAATGGTATGTTTGAAGCACGGATTTATATTACGTAATATAAATCCGTGGTTTGAAGTGATGCGGTTAATCAAAGTAATTTACGGTGGTCAGTTAATTTGAAGTGTTTATTAGCGGATTAAATGACAATTAGTTGGGACAATGTATGCATCAAACGTCTTTAGGGATTTTATTGCATTAAATATTTTGTTGTAATAATTAATTAACTAGCATCAGACGATATGTAAGTTTATGCAATTAACAACATTTCTACAAACTGATCAATTGAAATTCAAAAGCATTTAAAGGTAAGATAAAAATGTATTCTTTTCATCCACATCTTTATCTTGCTTGAAAGACTATCATATATGATATTACAGTAATGGCAACATCTTCCTTGACATTAAGTGGTATTACGTGGCATAGTCTTGTCCACATTATCATAAACCTCTGAATTCCGGAAACCTCTGAAATCCGAACTTTTTGACAAGTCCCATGGGTGTTCGGTTTTCGGAAGTTACACTGTAATATAAGAAAGGACACATATATATCCTTTCTATCAGTGACTGTACATATGGATTTGCGAAATATCAAATTTAAGAAACTTGTATGATTAAGATGGATTTAGATCTGCAGTCAGCATGTTGATTAAGGCCATTTCGCTATCATCATTAGTGTTCTTTCAAATTAGTAACACTACACTGAGATAATAGTTCTTATATAATCATTACAATAATAGTTCAATTAGCATATAAACTTTACATGTTCATCGCCTTATATACAATGGCTTAGTTACATACAACATGAGAAGAACATGAGCATTAATACAACAACATCATGTGACACTGTGTAAAACCTGTTATATTAAGATGTGTCTGACACAATTATCTATGACAAAAACTACACCCAAAACTATTAAATTGATACACTGATCTGAATTATCAGGGTAAAAAAAATTATCCTGCTTATTTTCAATAAGTAATGTTACTTTAGGATTTGTGATTATGCACATTAATTCAGTACAAGATAAGTATTTCAACATTTTACATCAGTTTTCATATTCCTTCTTCCAAAGAAATTAATCATTGTTGTTCATTTTTTTTAACAGTCTGGTGAGCAGTTGTTTCGTCCAATTAACCCAAATTGTAAACAGTATAGTGGTGGTTCTGGGGACTCTGCCACTGACAGATCTATCACTACAGGTAATTAGTGTACCTAATGAGATAATAATTATTATATTTTACATCTTTAAACTTAATACAAACCTAATACTTGTTAGAGAGTCCGTATGTGTTTGATTCATAATGATTTTAGCAAAGTGAATAATACATTGTGTAGTGATAAACATTAGTGTGTAAACTAAAACTTGGCGATTTTAAGATAAATTTCCAAAGATTAACTTTTGTTATTATAATAACCTTTTTTGTGTTTAATTGATGTTAAACATAGTTGTATTATAATAAAGATGTAGCATTAACAGGATTACATTATAGAGAATGTGTCACAGCACTTGTATGTGACAGTTAGGTATAATGAGATTTTACAAATTAACAAAAAAAAATTGTATGGTAAACTCCCATAATGTTGATAAGTAAATGATATTTTAAGAGGAAGACATCATAATTTTGAAAAACAGTTTCATTTAATTTTGTATGTTTTAATTTTAGAAAATTACATTGCAAGTTATCTTTTCTTAGAACTTGACCTTTACTATAGCTGTCAAATTAGATCTATTAATATTTTTACATTACTGCTAAAGTTCTTATCTATATAAGATCAAAATTAATGTCTGTGGCAAAATTATACATCACTTAGTCAAAAAAAAAACAACAAAAAAACAGAATTAAGAATTTATAATTTTTATAATAGACGTATCGATTGAGTCCCGAGAACCGAACCGGAGTTCTGCAGGAGATAGTGGACATTTGTCAGGTAGCGCCCTCTGCTTCATTCTGCAATTATCTTATATATGCCGGAACTTTCTTTCCCCCCTGCCTTGCATATTGCCAAAACTCGCCATTTTCCTTAAAAAAGTATAGAAATGTAGCCCTCAAAATATCACGCATCTCTAGTCTTAAGCAAAATTGTGTTATATTTATCACTTGTTTTCTGTCTGTATAACACATAATTGCTTTTCACTATTGAAAATGGTCACTTCTGCTTGCATTCACCCCTGCTTTAAAATAGATGATGGAAATTAGATTTCTGATTTTGATTTGTGTGATTTTAATTTGTGTAAATCGATATGAAGAGACTTTGACCAACTTAGTTCTCTTGATTAAGGTGTCCTGTGGTAAAGGTGTCTGCCTCTCAATCCAGGGATAGAAGGTTTGAGCCCTTACTGGGGTAACTATAGTGACTATTGTATGACACCAGTGCTGATTAGTTCAAGACAGTGGATTTGAATAAATGGTTTAAAAAATCATTAAGCTTATAGATGACCAGCTTGGTTAGCTCAGTAGAAAGAGCATTTGTTATCCAGGAATCATTGGTTTTAATCTTGGGCAAGACAAAATTTGTCCATGACAATTGGTATCAGACATCAAGTCAAATGGTCAGTAGTCTCTCTCTCAGTGCTGATTTAGAAATCAGGTGGAATTAGTAGGCCATCACATGTGAAAGTTTGGTTAATAAATGGTTAATATCCAGGAAAAACAGTTAGGTGAACTTACCACTTAGATATGACCAAGAATGTGTTTAAATCAGTGTAAAAACCAGACAAACAATGGCGTGTCCTTATTATAACGTAACATCTATAGAAAATGCATATAACTTGCAAGCTAGAAACTTTTCTAAGGTCTTATGGTGCTTGATTTCTACTAGTTAAATTACGCCAGTAGGACTAGGCATATTGTCTTAAAGTCTGTGTGTAGGTCTTTACTATAGTTATGTTATGATGAAAAGTTGTTCAAACTTTTGAATATTGTTTTTTTTCTCCATAAACAATGTTAAGTGAATGATAGTTATTCAGACTCCATTTATAAAAGTTTATAAAGTACATGCATTGTTTATAAACATGTAAATGGTTTAGAACAGAGTAGTTTTATGGTGGTGTGTGGAGTTTTGAAAGCATGTTTGCAGTGTTGAACCCTTACATTACAAAGAATATCTTCCAAGTTGGATAATAATTTTAGGGAAAACAAATTTACTTATTTAAAAGACAAAAATTTGTAACCCTTCTCAAGTTAACTACTTTTAACACCATTAAAGTGCAGATTCTTTCTTACTGTGCCTGTTTGCTGCTTTATAAGGGGGGGGTACACTGTGATGTGCCTCATTAAGAAAGGAGAAGTCAGTGTGCTTTATTGTTTCATCCCATTATCCTAGGATATTATTAACAGTTCTAATTAAGTCAAAGCAAGGCTTTTGTATGGAGTGTTACTAACAATATAACTTACATTAAACTAGCGATTCTCGCCACAAATATTGAGCATAAAAGCTTATTATCAAACATTTATACAGATGATGAAAAGTTACATGATAGATTGAATTCTTCTAATTATATACCATGCGTTTCTTCTGGTGACTTGTTACAGAGTTTGCAGAAAATGTCACCAAGTGAGCTCTGTAACAGCTACCAGCAGCAAGTTACTTGACGAATTCAGTCTAATATGAAACAGTTTCTATCAAGTGATTTTACAGACTCAATTTTAAAACCTTTTCATATATCTTTAACAAAGTAGTCACAAGAACATGTATAATTGAAATATGAATAATAAACCCTTATATCTAATGCCTTTCATTACAATGTTTTATGTAATGTTTAATCTGAAACTCTGAACTGTTGGAGACAAGTAAATTTTTAGCTCGACTATTCGCAGAATAATCGAGCTAATGCAGTCACCCATTTGTCGGCGTCGGCGTCGGCGTCCCTGTGGTTAAGTTTTTGTATGTAAGCTGGTATCTCCATAACTACTGAAGGGAATGGATTGAAACTTCACACACTTGTTCTCTGTGATTATCTAAGATGATTGGCACAAGTCCCATAACTCTGATTTGCTTTTTTTCATAATTATGCCCCTTTTTCGACTTAGAAATTCTTGGTTAAGTTTTTGTATGTAAGCTGGTATCTCCATAACTACTGAAGGGAATGGATTGAAACTTCACACACTTGTTCTCTGTGATTATCTAAGATGATTGGCACAAGTCCCATAACTCTGATTTGCTTTTTTTTATAATTATGCCCCTTTTTCGACTTAGAAATTCTTGGTTAAGTTTTTGTATGTAAGCTGGTATCTCCATAACTACTGAAGGGAATGGATTGAAACTTCACACACTTGTTCTCTGTGATTATCTAAGATGATTGGCACAAGTCCCATAACTCTGATTTGCTTTTTTTCATAATTATGCCCCTTTTTCGACTTAGAAATTCTTGGTTAAGTTTTTGTATGTAAGCTGTTATCTCCATAACTACTGAAGGGAATTGATTGAAACTTCACACACTTGTTCTCTGTGATTATATAAGATGATTGCCACAAGTCCCATAACTCTGATTTGCTTTTTTTCATAATTATGCCCCTTTTTCGACTTAGAAATTCTTGGTTAAGTTTTTGTATGTAAGCTGTTATCTCCATAACTAATGAAGGGAATTGATTGAAACTTCACACACTTGTTCTCTGTGATTATCTAAAATGATTGGCACAAGTCCCATAACTCTGATTTGCTTTTTTACATAATTATGCCCCTTTTTCGACTTAGAAATTCTTGGTTAAGTTTTTGCGAGTAAGCTTGTATCTCCATAACTACTGAAGGGAATGGATTGAAACTTCACACACTTGTTCTCTGTGATTATCTAAGATAATTGCCACAAGTCCCATAACTCTGATTTGCTTTTTTACATAATTATGCCCCTTTTTCGACTTAGAAATTCTTGGTTAAGTTTTTGCATGTAAGCTGGTATCTCCATAACTACTGAAGGGAATGGATTGAAACTTCACACACTTGGTCTCTGTGATTATCTAAGATGATTGGTACAAGTCCCATAACTCTGATTTGCTTTTTTTGCATAATTATGCCCCTTTTTCGACTCATGAATTCTTGGTAAAGTTTTTGCATGTAAGCTTGTCTCTCCATAACTACTGAAGGGAATGTATTGAAACTTGAAGAGTTTGTACCTTTTCGGACAATTTTATGTATTCATATAGGTAAGCATTATTATACTCAATGAAACACCCTTGTGACAAATTTTCGAATAGTCGAGCGTTACTGTCCTCCGACAGTTCTTGTTAATTAAATATTTGTCTTAATTTTGATGTAGAAGGTTATTCCATTGATTAGTTTAAAAAAAATCACTTTTGCTTTTAAATGCTGTATAATGCTATTGGAAGAATTCTCTTTTGAATGGTTTGCAAACTTGAAAACAGATAAAAAACAGTGTTTTTATACACAGAGTGTTTAAGAACCAAAATTGACATAGAATACACTTCTATATATGATGTTTTTAGAATAAAATTCTGAAAAAAGAAAAGAAGAAATTTCCAGAGGACAAGTATAATTATCTGCTGATATTTAATGTTATATTTATTTTACATGCATTCTTTCAATTAAATGTTATGTTAATCTTTTATAGATGAGAATGGTATGCTGATAAAGCAGCTAAGGAAGCCAGGCTATAGACCAGGAATGCCACCACAGAACCAGCCTATAGTTAACTGGAACGATGTCCTGCCTCCACCACCAAATCACCCTCCTAGTGATGGAGAGTATTTGCAAGACGATCAGCTATATTCGGAGATACCAGAAGACCGAGCCAGAAGTCCACTATCACCTGTCTCGTTGGCACAGATGTCAGCTTGCTCATGTCCAGTGTCGCATCCTCACCAAATGCAAAATTTTAGCCCCGGGGCTTATTCTGATAACTGTAACAGGTGTATGTCATTAAGAAACTTTGAAAATAGGCCCTACTCTCCGCAACAACTTGCCCAGATGCAGAGACAGCATGTGTTACCCCCAAATATTTCAAGAACCCTAGGTGCCCCTCCCCGAGGAGGTACACAAAGAGGAGGGACACCGGTTTATCTTCATGGATATTCACAGCCGTGGGATTCTCAGCCCCTTCCAAGAGGACCGTACGAGTATGACTATGCCCAAGTACCGAGGGAGGACGGTTATAATTACACCCAACCTATCCAGGATGGTTTAATTGATAGAAATATTGATCCTAATGACTCTTCTGTTATACCCTATCACGGGCCTCCAAGAGACTTTTCAAATATCCCTGGTGGGCCTCCAGGGAATTATTGTGAAGGGCCGTGTAGGGGTCAAATGAATAATTTAAATGCTAGTTACCATAGAAATAGAGGTGATAATACACAAGCTCCCTATTTGGAAGGTTATAAGATTGATTCACCACCTTCAAGTTCTAGTGAATATCGTGTGTGTAATAGTGGAGGAAGTTCAGCGGGTTCAGCTAAGTCTAGAGGTGGAATGAAGGGACGGTCGTCCTCGGAGGGGAACGACTTGAAGGACAAACAGTATCATGTTGGTCCTGAAACACAGTGCAGACCTTTGATGTACCATTCAAGGTATTTACTGTTTTTGATCTTATCTTTATTCATTGATTTATTACACTATTGTATAAAAAGCTCAAATTAAAATAATTTATTATGTAATTTTGCTGTTTCGTCTTAAGTTCTCAATATTTTACTTACATTTTGTTCCTATAGAATATATTAGTTTGATTGTATTGGTAGCTTTTAGATTATACATATACATATAAATATCTAACATTTAACATAACAATTATAATGATAAGCAAGGAAGTCAACTTTAAGTAAAGCAAATTTTCAGTGGTTCATTTGAACTGATTTCAGGTCAGAGAATTCACCTCCTGGACATTGTATGATAGATGAGGGGTACTCGAGGAATGCTGATTCACCAATATCAGAGGATCCTGATTATGCTGAGGAGATAGATAATGATGTAGACAGAAATAATGAGAGAGGTATGTGAACACTTCTTTTTTTTGTTAATTTTGATGGAGGAGATATTGGTTACATCATAGCAATATTTGGAGATTTGTAGCTTAAATTTTATATGTGTTATTAAATGGCTTTGAATAAGATACATATACTTTTTGACTCATTATTTAGATAAAACAATAGATATTCATCACATGAAGAATTGGTTGGTAAAATACAGGTTATCATTAATAATATACATTGTTATATTGAATATCAAGAAGTACTGCATTTATTCACCAAAAATGTGGGGAATTTTATTCTAAAACTGGCAGTATTTTATTACAAGTTCCAATTCTCCTGTGATCCTCTTATAAGACTAGGTGTATAAACTTATGCTCTAAATTGAAGGAAAAAACATGTCATATAAGAGAGTAAATAAATAAGATAAATTATTATCTACTGATTTCTAGCCGCATGTGTTCAAACACTTAAGGGGCAAATCGTTGTTTTCTTGAGCAAGAAACCATACACTCATTGCTCAGTACTGGTTGGTTCAACGAACAGATTCGAAAGTGTCTCTATAAGCTTATAGCTTCTCACACACAATCAAACTAAAAAAAAAATTGTATAAACCAAGGTATATTATGTAAATGTGTCTTAGGCAGACAATAATACGTTACTCTCCTTGTCTATTTATAGATTCCATGGTAGCTAACTGGGAGAGCCAGGAGGACTGCAGTGAACTACATTCCAGTTCCAGTAACGTATCAGAGGAAGGTGACAACCAGTTCCTGAACGAGGAAGACTTTGCTAGTGCTGTTGCTAGAGCAGCAGAGTTGTCTGGCCTAACTGTAGTGGGTACCACGGTCAGTGACCCAAATCCCAAACAACAAGGTAAATGCTTCAAGTTCAATACAAAGGTTCTGTAACTTACTCTCTGTTTCCATTCATGACTCATTCTGGAAGTTAACTAAGTGAAAATACTATGAACCTTTGTCTGTATAAATACTAAACCAGATTTGGTTAGGGCCCAGTTACACAGACGGTCGGTCCCCAATCGGTCATTTAATTTTAAATTTACTCGCTGTAATGATCGGTTGTCATGCGTGATTTTATTTCTGGTTTTCTGTGTAAACGGCCATCGGTGACAGACAGCAAACTCAAACGGGAATTAGTCGATGATTAAATGCTGAAATACTTTTGGTTTTTATCGTTTGTAAATGGGAGCCAAATCGGGCGTAACGCTGATTAATCGGTGTTTGATAGCTAGTCATCAGTGGTTAAACACTTTCCGTCAGATATGGCCGGTGATTCATATTTGGTTATCTTTGTCCGATCGGTGATATCGGTGATTAAGAGCTTGCATATCTCGTGATATAGGTTGCCGTCGGTAATTTTTAAAATATTTTCACCGATCAAGAATTTTAAACGTGTTTAAAAATCCCAATCGGTAATTTTTCACCGATGAAACTTATCTTTCCCCAATAGCAGTTGATAGGTGGAAAACAGGTGACCAATAGGTGATATCGGTGATCAATACGTTGTCATCGGTTCACTCCATAATTTGGCTAAAAAAACTACCGATCAATCACCGATGGCTCTGTGTAACTGGGGTGTAACCTAAATTCTTAGTGATTGATACTTCAAAAACCTAATTTAGATTGCACAAAAAAAATTGCAAAATGGTCCATTTTAAATGCAAAGCAAAGTGATCCATTTTGATACAAACAACCAAATAAACTTTTTGATTGAAATATTACTTTAGGGATTTTAGATTTATCTTTACCACATTTGTTTCTCTTTACATGCCAAAAAAAAAATGGTCTCAAAGTTTGATACTCTGAACTTGTTTTGTTATAATGAAATTAATTTTTTTTTGATGTATAATTATTATTTAGGGAAGAAAACAAAGCGGCATCATCGGCAAGCTCGGCCTATAAGTCCTGGGTACAGTACCGACAGTAATTACGGTACAGCTGACATACCACATAAACCGTATCCCAAGTCACAGCGTCGGAAACAGCTCGCTGAACAGGGTAAACTGAAAAAGAAGGGAGATAACACTAGCAACAAGGATGATAGTTCTAACACGGTAGACACAACTAATGAAATTCCCTCCCCTGATACTAAAAATGGTAATTAACATGTTTTAATCTATCCTTTGCATTGGTTTCCATTAATATTATATGTTGTAAAACTGGACTTGCTCTAAATCTGTCAGTCACATAATGAAAGATATAGTGAAAATGAATGTCGTTTAAACATATAAAAAATTTCATAGGACATTGTTACGCATTTAGGAGATTGTATGTAGAAGTTTAGGAAATGGTCAGTTATAACTGCTTCTTGGAATTATGAACTTAATATATTAAATTTAATGAAAACGTGTGTAAAGTATCATATTTATTGTAGGATATGAACATGTTGCTGAATTGAAGTTATTTCTGTTTCATTATAGTGATTGACTTTCTTGAACAAATGAGTCCATAACAATGCCTTGTTAATGTGGGGAACTTACACTGAAATGATAAATGTTGTAATGTAACTAACAAACAAACTCTTTTTTTCTGTAATTTGAATAATCATGTGGGTAAAGCCATCTGGTTAACTCAATATGTTGATAATTGGACTGTGAATCAGGCAATATGGCTTTGATTTCCGGTCTTTGATTTTTATCTTTTTATGCCCCCACAATGTGGGAGCATATAGCGTTGCACTTGTCCGTCCGTCCGTCAGTCCGTCCGTCAGTCCGTACGTCCCGAAATCTTGTGAACGCAACTCCTCTTAAACCGGATGGCAGATTTTGCTTAAACTTACAGGGATGAACAACCTTAATGTGTAGATGGTAGTAAAGGAAGGAATTTTCGCTGCGACAAAATTTAACAGAATTATGGCCCTTTGTTGATTTTTTCACTAGATACTATGTAGAAATTTTGTGAACGCAACTCCTCTTAAACCGGATGGCAGATTTTGCTTAAACTGACAGGGATGAACAACCTTAATGTGTAGATGGTAGTAAAGGAAGGAATTTTTGCTGCGATCAAATTTAACAGAATTATGGCCCTTTGTTGATTTTTTCACTATATACTATGTAGAACTTTTGTGAACGCAACTCCTCTTAAACCGGATGGCAGATTTTGCTTAAACTTACAGGGATGAACAACCTTCAGGTGTAGATGGTAGTAAAGGAAGGAATTTTCGCTGCGACCAAATTTTACAGAATTATGGCCCTTTGTTGATTTTTTCACTATATACTATGTAGAAATTTTGTGAATGCAACTCCTCTTAAACCGGATGGCAGATTTTGCTTAAACTTCCAGGGATGAACAACCTTAATGTGTAGATGGTAGTAAAGAAAGGAATTTTTGCTGCAACCAAATTTAACAGAATTATGGCCCTTTTTTGATTTTTTCATTATATACTATGTAGAAATTTTGTGAACGCAACTCCTCTTAAACCGGATGGCAGATTTTGCTTAAACTTCCAGGGATTAACAACCTTAATGTGTAGATGGTAGTAAAGGAAGGAATTTTTGCTGCGACCAAATTTAACAGAATTATGGCCCTTTGTTGATTTTTAGTTTTCAACTTGTGGCACATGTAGTCCAAAAAATATTTGACCTAGAGTCATAATATTGACAGAACAGTGGCGTGTGGGGGCATCCGTGTCCTATGGACACATTTCTAGTTTCTTACTTGTTTCCTTCATCTGATTAACATTATACATATTTTATGTTTCTTTTTTTATCACTTATATAATTTATGTTACTTTTTGCTTTTACCTTTTAAGTTATATGTCCTTTGATTGTGAAAGTTTACCTTTTACCCTTCCTTTATATATAGATATAATGTACTGTGCTTTGTAAATATTTTATCTGAAAATGAGAAAAGTGAAAATGTTTCAGAGAGATTTAGAAACAATTTTCTTTTGTGGCAAATATCTTTTGCTCATTATGAATTTAGTTGTTTTCAAACATAAACTTTTGTAATATCTTAGTATTTAAAAAAAACAACATTTTATACACATTATACTCTTACATAAAAAAGTCAAACAAAAGCAATATTCCATTATTTTTGTCTCACTATGACCTTATTGTGGAATACAAACAATAAACTATCAACACCAGTATTTGGAGAAGTATACAATTAACCACATGTTGATGTCTGGCTTTGTAATAATACACATTACAAATATTAAAGAAAATTGGTCAATTTAATTCGATGAAATTATGAAAGCATGAAATTAACCCAATTTGTCCATATCTTATATTTGCAGGGTCAGAAAAACACGGGTATATCAACCCCTTACCATCCAGCCCTGCCAAATCAGAAGTTCCCTCCCTTTACAGAAGCCACAGATCACCAGGGGGAGGCACTGGACAAGAAGTTCAACAAAATTCTGGGAATACTGGAAACAAACTAGGAATGTTTAACTTTGGAGATGATGTAAGATTTTTAAGAAGTAATAAAGTGAAAAAAAAACCAGCAATAATGCATGATTGTACAATTAGGATAGAGAAAAATTATTGTTACATGTCAGGAAATTTAGAAACTTATTACTGAAATACATGATTTAATAAAAATATTTTCCACAAGTCATTTTGTCATCATTTTTCTGTATCCGTGTGTAAAAATTGTTTAGGAAAAATAAACAAAACATGACAATAAAAAGGTGGGTGGGGTTTCACTATGAATTTGAAAGTGAAATTACTTTGTTAGTATATGTGTTTACTATTGAATGTTCAATAAATCATGCACACATTGCCTGCTGTTTGCAACCTACATGTACTTTTAGAAATTATTATCTGTCAAATTGAACAGATTAGACACAGTATAATTATCTATATATTTAGACACAATAACATTCATTTATACCTAATAGTTTTCATTTCTTGTATTTTTACAGATTCCAGTTGTCTGATATAGGGAGAGTGTTTAGAGATGAGGAGAAAATACTCAATAGTTATTTCACCAGAAGAGATTTAAAACTCATTTCCTGTTGGGAATTATGGGTTGAAATAAAGGGAGACAACCAGACTGACTTTCCATGGAAGATTATTGGAAAATGAGTTGTTCAGCTTTTCCCAGAGATGAGAAAAAAATCCCATACCATTTGAGTAGCAACATGTGTAGCAGACGACATATTTGAAAACTATGCTGAGACTTTATATGTCAGTGTGTAAATGGTCCAACTGGTTTATACAGATAAAATGGCATAATTTTGTGTAGAAAATTTTGAAATATTAGTTGTAAACCAAAGAGTATAGTATTGAATGTACTAAATTATTTATTTCATGGTCGATTGAGTAGAAATCCTGCCATATACCAAAAAAAATAAAGACTTGTAATATATATGAGTATTATATGATATAATGTCAAATTGAAATCCTGTGTAGATGTGAAATATGGGTCAGTGTGCTCTATACAAGGTTGTGTTAAAGAATCGTAACTTTAGCCAAGAACTTTAGCTAAGTACTTTAACAGAGTACTTACGAACTTTAGAACATTACGGGTTACACATTTCTCTGTTACTCCATTACAGGCGGTAGAATTTGCCCGTCTGCAAGTTATTTGTATGTGACTTGTCTGCAAGTAATGTGTAAATTGTGTGCTTGCAAGTAATGTGTAAGTTACTTGTCTGCAAGTTATATAAACGTTTTGTGAAAGATAAAAGAGGAAATTAGAATTTTTGTGGCATAGAATAAACGTTAGATGCTTGGGAGGCATATGGGGCTCAGTTATAGTTTCTTGACACAAAGTTAGCAGAGCCCACTTGCTGAAGATGGCAGGTTTTTGATATGAAAAGTGAAAGCAGAAGTAATAGTATGGAGCATGTATTCAACATGTTGATTGATGTGTGCCGGAAAAGAAAATAACCATGGATAACTGTGATACTGGAGTGGTTGCAGAGCAGCCATTTTATATAATGTACATGTATGTAAAAAGGAAACTTTATAAAATGTTTGTGTTCTATAGAAGACTGATAAATGTGCTAAATTTGCTAAGTTTATGATTTTATGTAAAGTTTTTGATCTATGTTGAGTCAAAATATTGTATTTGACTTTTTTTTGTATTTTGGCTATATTCAGCATTGCTTACTGTAGTCGGCTATAACTCTGTACTTGTAGATATATGTACCTCAGTGCGAGGCTAATATTTCTGATGATTTATATAATATATACATGTACATGCAGTAACACCAGTCTCAACTGGGTCTAACTTACAGTCTAAGCTTTGTTTTCTGTTATTCTGTCTGTTTAAAGCCAGCATTTGAAATGTCTGCTAGGAAAATGTGATAGTTTTTGTCACATATATAAGTTCTCTTTTGTTAGTTTGAATGAAAAATTTCATTGAAAACAAGAGAGGAAAGAATTAATCTGACAGAAAGCAAAATTTTAATTTGTAACATTTTTAAGAAGCAGTAGAAATTTTTTTTACTATGTTTTGATGGTGGGTGTCAATCAAGTTACATTTCAAATTTAATTTTATAACTATAGATTCTTTCATATGAATTAGCTATCCAGCTAGATGATGGAAGGTGGCACCTGGGGTCTCCCTCCACCAGTTAAGCTAGAAAGTCACCATATTATATTTACAGTGTGGGTATGACTGAAAAAAAATCCAATATCGAAATTATGTTCTGTAATTTATATTCTGTTATTTCATCAGTGTAAGAGTTACTGCCATCCATAGTACATCTAGCTATGAAATTTCTTCATCTTTTTAAAGTTTGTTCCACCCTGAACTTCTTTAATTCTTCTGCTGAGCTTATTTTTTTAAACAAATTTAAAAAATGCTGCTGATTCAAATTATTTTAAATAGCATTATTTTGTTACATACCATTATTATGTATTGTATATGTCCATGTACATAAAAAATCTCATTATTAAGAATTTTTTAGATTAAACTAATGGATTGAATTTCATATTTAAATGTAATAATTATCATTTTATAAATACTTCATTTTTATACACCATTGATAAACTAGGATTTTATACCATTGAGATGTTATGGTTGAACACCATTGTAAAGCAAGGGTTTTACATAATAGATATAGCTAGGATTTAAACCAGTGTGAAAACTAGGATTTTTATACCATTGTGAAAGCTAGGGTTTTTATACCATTGTGAAGTTAGTTGTGAAAGATTTGTATACAGATCCCTAAATTAAATAGGTACTAACCATATGTTAGTTCTGCTCAGTTTTTGTTTGATTCATCTTTAGGTACAGATAGTCAAATGTGTATTATGTCCGTAAATAAGATATATTTTTAATGTACTATAGAATGAAAAATATGTTACAAACCTTTATTATATAAAAGTATGATGCTCTTATAAATTTTTATTTAGTGAAGGGATTCGAAATTTATTCTCAATTTTTGTTTTCGTATTTTAGCGGGGACTTCTAGCTTTTTCTTTGACAAAAATGTTATTTTAAACATATCTAGATATCTAGTTAAGTGTAGCAGTCAGTGTCGTTTTATTTGTAAGCTCTGTTTTAATGTGAATATTATGTCAAGAAAACCAAATTAACAAGCCATACTCTTGAGATTTGTCCCGCCCTTTTTTTGGTCATTTGACAAGAAAGGGACAATGAAGGCAAGTTATGATTGACGACCGTGTGTTGAGATTATTTTGGAAAGAAATATAACGTTTGTTCAATCTACTAATTGTGCAATATCTGTATATATTAGAAACGTAGATACCTGTGAAACATTTCATTGTTAATTTATAAAGAAACGTATAGGGGGAATATATTATAATTCTATGATTGCTATTGTTGATGTTCATCAATATCATTATAGTGTGAGTGGCTGATTAGGTTCGGTTCTGTTATGTTATAATATTGCGAAATATTTTGGTGTGTGTGAAAAACAATAAGCCTAAAAAATAAAAAGCCTAAAAAAATTGAAATGAATTCATAGAATTCCATAGCTTCTAATCACTAATGTATACAAAAGATATTCAAAAACTTCAAGAATACAGGTTAAAACCTTTTGGAAATTGAAATTCTTAAATACAAGTAATACAAATAATCTTACCCTCTGTGGGCAAATTTTGAGCAATGATGTAGATGAATAAACTATTTAGTCCATGTTAAGGAAATGCAAGTTTTGTTATTTACACTATTTTAACAAAATTTAAACATTGAATTAATTTAAGTACCATTATATAAGTAAGTCATGTTAAGGTTTGAAGGCTAGATAATATTTGACAAAAGGTAAATTTATATAAATAATTAATTAAATGCTTAATTGTATTTCAACACTAAACTTGATCATTTACGAGAAAAAACATAATTTTTTATAGTAATATATATACATGTAATATACGTAAGGATGTTGAATAAGTTAAAAGTTGGGCTTATGAGTAAGAGGGTGACTAGAATAAAAGACATAGAGCCTAGTCACGTGATATTTGTATAGAAACGATTTGTCTAGATGATTGTATGAATGTTTTGTGATTTCATTTGGTCTAATAAGTTATTTATGTGTTATTGAGAAAGCATAATCATTTAAGTTGCTATTAGATGTCTATTGATAATAAAAATGTTAAAAACCCTAAGAGCTTGTTTTGTATAAATTCGTAATGGGACTTGTGTACAATGATGTGATGTGATGACATAGCCCTCACGTTAACATGGCGAGTATATATCTGTTCACCAGGGTGAGGATAATTTTGAAGCACTAGCTTGCGATTCTACTCCGGCATTTTGTCTACAGTAACAAAAATAATGGTACCTATTGTCTTCAGTCATCACTAATAACTTAAAATTTGTGAATGGACATAAGTGGTATTGTTGAGACATGATCACTTCTTTCTCCATTTTCAAACAGATCCGCCAGGAGATGCCTTGGTACTTAAGCGTGGAGGAAGGTAGTCTAGTACTGGTGTAACTCTCCGGAGACGACCTATATGACTGAAATACTGTGGGGGAAAAGGCGTAAAATGAAACAAACAAACAAACTTAAAACAGACCAAGACAATAAAGAAGCGTAACTTAACATGGTATGTGATCAAGTAGATGTGTCAAATGGTTCCTTTCTATACCCTCTTGCTGACGCTGTTGATCGGCAACAAGAGGAACGTACTGGCAAGAATTCATAAATCTAGAACAAACGTGTGGCGGTAGTGATTTTTGTAGTTAACTTTCCGTACCACGACCAGGGGCGTAACTGAGCTATTTTGAAGTGTACGTCTTAACTAGGGGGGTTCGGGGGCATGCTCCCCCGAGAAAATTTTTGAAAGAGGAAACGATATCCTGCCATTTCGTGTCTTTCTAGAGGCTATATTGACAACATATTGGTGATGATTTCAAACTCTTTTTATCAATTTTAAAATATTTAAAATGAACAAGTACGGTACATATACCATTAAACTTTTCTTATATTTATCATTGATTTTTTTGCAGCACAAATTTGTTATTTTGCAACCTTCAAACGGATGTTATAGCAACAAATCTCCCGTATTCAGTAAATTTTAAACTAAAAAAACAAGAAACAAAACAAAACACTAGACGTTTGTTTCGTTGGTATGCAAACTTGTCTACTCGGCATTTACTACTCTATAAACATTTATGAGACATAGACTAGACTTACACTCAGTCTCCATAGAACGTACTTCTGACGTTTTACTTCAGTTGTTGCCGTTGCCACTGGCATGACCACTAAAATTGTCAAAAAATGCTTCACGTTTGGGTACAGAGCCTTGCTTCCTTCAGAAAAGCCGGGACCGCTGGACGGCAAGTTACTGTCAAGTTTACGTTAGTCCACCACATAAGCTCCAGCTAACACTGAGACTCTCGGACAAAGATGGGTTTATTCACATTTTTAAGCTTGCGTTTTAAATGCGAGGTACAATGCCCCAATGCTCTCTCAGGAAAGACCGTCATTCTGCACCTTCATAAGTAGCAACTGTTGTATCACTATATTACGAATGATAATAGTGTGAAAATTGTGACTAAGTTCAGTGAATGTTTTGGCGTGTTAAATATTTCATTACATTTAAATATATAAAAAAATACCGCGTTATATTACACGCAAAGATATTTTAAAATGCCAGTAAATTAATTAAAACTCGTTGCGTATAACATAGATTATGTGGAGTTAAATATAGAACTCACGCATACATTTAAGGATTCATTTAAGATCTTTTTGTGATAAAGTAAATTCATTAACAGATATAAGACTTTAATAATGATATAACTGCGCATGGAACTTGCCTGATGACTCATCGCAATGTTTTGCTGACCACAAAGAATAATTTTCTCAACAACTTATACAAGAATCGGACGATTTTTTTTAATAAATGCATAAAATTAAGATGGAATTTACACTCTTTGTCTTTTCCTGCCCTTTCGGCACGGCCAAGTTATTCTCTGCAGCAATCAAATGATTAATATGTCATGAGAACTTTGTATGTCTTTCAACCATCTTTGAGAAATTACACCAATTTGTTACGTGTGATGAGAAGAAAAATCAAACATACAAGGCGACTTTGGCAGAACGCAGACCCCTACACAATCCAGCCACATCAGCAGGGTAGCAAGAAGGCACCCAACCAAAAACAAAAGAGGACACAAAAGGGCCAATACGGGAAATAAAAGGTTTTTTGGGGAAAATAGGCCTACTGCGGGCGAGCTGCTCGCCGAATAAGAAGCACGGTGCGCAAAACATATGCCGCCAATGGTCCCAAGAATCGATGCTGAACCAGGCACCTTTTATTAGATATCGCAATATAGATCATTTTAAAAGATATTAATCAATACTGTATATGATATGAATTTTTTATATAATGATTACGTCGAAAGAGTCAGTAGGCCTATATGAATATATGTGCCCCGACCACACTACCCCTTCTGTTTTTATCACTTTTTGAGAACTATTAGCGCATGTGATTTTTTGGAAAACAGGATTGATTTGTACGCACGGGCGTACAGGAGTACACCTAGTTACGCCCCTGACGACAGTAAGCCTTTTTGAATGCATCAGAAAACAGTTCAGGCAGTCAAGTGGTTAACAGAAATTCTATTCAGGTCCGCTGCGCCACGCGATAAAACACGCAGCAATATAGAAACAATGAATATACCCAGTAACGAACAACATAGACAATAGTAACGCAGAATTGTGCAATTCTATGGCCGAAACAAGCAAATATAATGGCGCAAATGGTGACTGAGAAATATCGTAAACGTCATTAAAAAATTTCTAGGAATATTGGTCTTTTTCAAGATAATTCGTGAGAATGACTTCCTAGTTAGTGTATTTAAGGTGACATCGATGTTTCGACGATATGTATTAATGCAATGACCCATATATTACATTCTTTTTGATATGCTTCACACCTGAGACGTTTGCCACAATTTGTGTCCAAAGCAAATAAACTTTATTCGGTTACCTCATTTAAAGTATCTAAATCATATTTTATCATCTTCCATTTATTATTATATGACACAGTATTACCGAATATCAAGTCAAGAAAGTTTTCAATGCGTTTTTGCAGATATTAATATTTACTGACGGCAAACAAAAACCGTGTCTTTTAATTTGATTTACTATAAAATATTTTTTTCGTTTATTTACCGTGTTATTTACCGCGTTACTCGTTTCGGAAATAGCTTTGCACAGATTCACACAGTTCGTGCGTTATTTTCACTGTCAATTAAAATTTTTTTTAATTACGGGGATGTCAAAATGAACTGATCATTTGTCAGGTTCAAAATAGAAAATATGCTTATCATCCTACTGTGTACTTCAGACAACAGTTGTTTCTTATAGCGACCAAATTGGCTCATTTCCTTACACCAACGAACACATAAACATGAGCCACAAGGTGTTCCCTTTCTTCTTCTTTAACATAGATGGGAAAACACATATCTTTCGTTGGTGTATTCCTTGTTTCAATAACATTTCCACGCATTTCATTATCTTCGTTATTATTAATCAACACGCCTCTTCATTTGACAGTAGTCTATGATTCACATTCTTCTTAACCTGTGCATCGTTCTTTTAATTCCCTTCTTAAAGTTTAGAATATTGTGCTGTCGTCTACAGCAATCATTCGACTGTCTTGATGCCAGAACTATTAAGTGTTGAGAATTGAGTACCGCTCAAGCCGGTGCTAGGGGGCATGAGGGATGTTGCACTAATTCATTATCCCTCATGTACAGACTCAATCAAACCGAGTCTGGAATTTTCATGTAATTTTTTGTTGTGATTAATGCTTCTGAGGGATCACTTTGTTTCCAGAATTTTATTATTCAGTCTTACATGATTTTTAAATAAGACGCATGATTTACTGTGGAATGACACAATGCGAGTCGTCAATAAAACACAAGCACATTAAAACATCCACATACATCAGCTTTACACTTCATGACCATTTAATGAATTTCTGACTTTGTTGTAAAACATTTTTATTTACATTTTCTTCAAGTGAAAGACAATGTTTTCTTATTTCCGTATAAAAATAATGGACTATGCAAATGTCTGTAGTTTATCGAGAAGTAATATCGTGGAATCAGGCTAGAATTAAATTAGGCGTAAACATTTTGTCTCCTGATAACTAAGGGGAAATTGTTTCGAATTTGGACAAAAGGAATCGGTGTGAGAGGTGTTGCATTGCACCGTCATAAAACAACTGAATGTATCAATATATCCATTTGTTGGTTTTTAAAAAATAGGAAACAAGTTTGTTTTGAAGAAATATATCTATTTTTTTCTTTCTCTTTTGAGATGATTTGGATAGTGTTGTGTGGACAAAGGTCTGGTTTCAAAAACTTAAAATGCCGCCTTTTATAAAGTAAAGCGAGGTAACACGTGTGCTGTTTTATTTTGCTTATATTTGGTAACGGGTCTAATGCCTTTTATGTCTTATATTCTACGTTTATGCAAATTTGATGTTTTATAGTTGGTCATTTGCTTATTAAAAGTTCATATATCGTTTGATCGGGGTATAATTAATTAATGTTCAAGGCATTATGATAAACCATTATGACCAACACTGTAAATATATAAATAAGACACATGATGTCGGATTCCTGGCAGATTGCGACTTTTACTGAATCGTACACGTCCTGTCACAGTATAAAACTATAGTACTGCTAGTACGGACGTACAAACTCCCGCAGCGGTTACTTCCCCTGATCAGTACAGAAACGTGGCAAAGCGTGACGTAACCGCTGTGAGGAGTTTGACGGACGTAATGGAATTGTCGTGCCGTAACGCTTCCACTTTAATTTCAACAACCGCAGATCTATACAGACATTTGTCTAGGTAGCATTTAATTCGGCTCTTCTAAAGGTATGCAATGCACAGCCATTTTACGCGTGTGTAAAACCTTGCTTGTATTATTTTAATATATGGCAATAATCAGTCGTTTTGTTTCTCATTGAATATTTTTTTATTCATGCTGAAATCTGCTTTTGCCGGTATTACGGTCGTGAAGAGTAGCTTGAGTAGCCTGTGGTGTTTTTAATTATGCTGTTAAGAGGGACTTTTATGATGTCAAGTTTAGTTACTCTTCGGTTTAGGGCTTGTATATATATAAGAGGGTGTTAGTTAAAATTCAATAAGATGAATTATTACATACTTTTTATTCTTATAATAGTGAAAATATATACTAAATAATACAATTTAACTCACCATTGCGGTTTTTTTTGTTGTTTTTCATAAAAATTAATTCACATAATTAATAACAAACGTAGACATTTCTCTTATCAAAATAATGAATTATAAAAAATACGAAATATGATACTGTATAGTACAATACTATGTAGTATTGCGTACAATGAATTTGTGTCACAATATCACTTTTATGTTGTATCATTTAAATCTCGCGGTGCCAATGATTTTCAAACGTGAAACTACATGCATACATATAAACGTACATACATACATCTTTTTCTATAAATTCTATTGGACGAGAATACAGCTGCCAAACCAGTTTAAACTTGGCGCCGTACGAGTTCAACATAAGTTGAGCACCAGTGTACGAATCTAAGAGAATCATCGTTATATTAAACAAGGTTTTTTTTTTCACACCAGCAATTTTAACTTTTAGACAATGACGATGATAATGACAAAAATAATGGGTTTAAGACAACCGGCCCATGCAATACATACACATTTTTTTTAAATTGTACATAACATGTTTAATTTTAAAAATTTTACACTTACTTTAAAACACCTTAATACACATTATGTCTTTGTATAGAGCCTGCGATTTGTCTTATTTTTTACACATACACATAATTATTTATTCTCTTAACATCATATACATTCATGGTAAAACCGTTATAACGGCATCAAAAATGATTTTAACATACTCTACATTTCTCTCTCCAATACATAGCATAAAAACATAGCTACTTTTGTGATATCTGCGTAAATTGTTGACATTAATCTTATCAAAAGATGATACAGTAAAATCAATATTAATTGTACATATATATGATATAACAACAAAAGAAACAAAAAAAACATACATATCATTTTCGAACATCTTTGCATCATACATTTATATTATTATGTACCATTTGACTAAACGAGTTGGACAGTTACATAGGTTCAGTAAAAATATTGAAAAATATCAATCTATAGAAACTTTGTTGAAAGAACTGTTACTTCGAGAACATTTTAGATTTAATATAGGTTTATTTTGATAACGAGGCGAGACGGAGTAAAATACGGATTTGATATGGACTTTTTTTGGACTCCGTGTATACATGGCGTACAGTATGGATTTGATTTAAATGTTAATCTTGTTAATCTCGGAAAATGTAAACTAGGCTACATTAATAATATAAGATCCATTACTTATGTTTTTTTGGTGCAAAAGTTGGAAATTTACAGGTTACATATAAGGTGTGAAATGAAAAGAGATATCAGATATAATATAATCATCTGATGTAATAACTAACATGTCTATTCACATTCATGAAATCTGTATCGATGAAATATAAAAATACGATATAAATATGATACATGATACTGTATAGCGATGCCAATGATTTTCAAACGTAAAGCTACATACATACATACATACATACATACATACATACATACATACACAAATAGATGTATATCTTTTTCTATAAATTCTTTTGGACGGGCTATCAAACCAGTTTAAACTTGGCGCCATACGAGTTCAATATAGGTTGAGCAGCAGTGTACGAATCTAATAGAATCATCATTATATTAAACAATATATAATAACTTCTTTTTTCATACCAGCAATTTTAACTTTTTGACAATGACGATGACAATGACAAAAATTATTGGGTTTAAGGTATTACATGTATAATTAACACTTTTTCAAAAGACATTTAAAACTTTATGTTGATAAATTGTACTATATTCTGGACATAAATACAAAAAATACAAAAATGTACCATCTTGTTTAAAAAAATAATTTAAATATTGACAAATGACGTATAACTTTTGAATCAATTTATACAACAACAACAAAGAATATGTTTTCATTATCTGAAGAAAAGTTTCGCTAGTTTCATATTTGTCTTAGTTGAAAAGTATTAATAAAGAGCCACATATTTTTTAATAACAACAACAACAAAAAAAAAAAACAAAAAAAAAAACAATGACAAATGTCAATGAAAAGATTTTTTTTTGGTTTATTGAGACAGGTACTTGTTATTTTACATCAAATAAGAAGAAGGTGAGATAAGAAAACCTGTTAGATTTCGTCATTAAAATAGGGGCATCAAAATGTTATTTGATAATATTTATCTTGACACAAATCTTAACATATGTGGGCAACATAAAAAGGTTTACCATGCCCTTTTCAAATTTTAATCATTTTAAGTTGTTACACTATCCAATTTCACAAAATGTTCAGTAAGTATTATGCGCACACTTTTCCCCCCTTAATTTCAGATTTTATATTATAAAAAGAGAGAGAAAAAAAATAGAAAAAAAGACAAAAATTGAATCGCATCTTCTGTGGTTTGAACCCATGCCTTATCGAAACTCTGTGTCCTCACTGAAAATGAATACTCTGCAGAAAGGAGATTCTACAGGCATCAAATACTAGTACCTTAAGACCATCGGTCCTTGCAATACATACACATTTTATTGATAATTTGTACAAAACATGAAATATGCTAAATTTTACACATGCTTTTAAACATCTAAATACATCTTAATTGTACATAACATGAGATTTGTCTTAATTTCTACACATACACTTACTTTTTAACCTCTAAATATCATATACCATAACGGCATCAAATATCATTTAAACACACTCTATGTTGTTTTTATTTTCAAATTAAAAACAAAATAACATAGCTACTGATTTTATATCTGCGTAAATTGTTGACATGATAATATTAAACATATCAATAGATGGTACAGGAAAATCAATATATTTATTGTACATAATAATTATGTGATATATTGATAACAAAAAACAAACACATAATTTTGAACATATTTGCATCATACTTGTATATTATTACCCCTCACTATTTTTATAATGTTAATTCCTAATGGTAGTTCATCTTACTGTTTATTCAAATGTACCATTTGACTAAACAATTTGGACTGTTATATAGGTAGCATTACCCTTCAGTGAAAAATCAGAAAAATATTAATCTATAAAACCGTGTTGACAGAACTTTTTACTTCGAGGACAATTTAGATTCAATTTGGGTTTATTTTGATAACGAGGCGAGACGGAGTATAATAAGGATGGACTTTTTTGATCTCCGTGGCTTCACGGCGTACAGTATGGATTTGATTTAGATGTTAATCTTGTTAATCTCGGAAAATGTACACGAGGCTACATTAATAATATAAGATCCATTACTGATATTTTGGTGCAAACATTGGAAGTTTAATGATTACATATTATAAGGTGTGAAATAAAAATAGATATCAGATATAATCATATGATATAATAACTAGAATTCATCTACTCACATTCATACAATACGTATCAGAATACATCTTGAATCTCGTATTATCTAGCTTATAAAATCTTTTGATGTCATAAAGACGTACAATTTAACTATGATGCATCTTGAAACAGTTTAATAGAGACTGTTTATCATTACTGATCAATACATGCAAGTAATAAAAAATATTGTTACTGTGCAAAATCTATAAACTGATTCCTAAACGTTTTTAAAAATAACTTTTGTTAACCTAGTCAATATACAGTGTAAACATATATTTACCAAATATACAACTCGATTTAATAATTATTCATTCATTTCATTCATCTATTTGACCCGTTCCGGCTTTGTTTAGATTGCCTTCCAACAGGAAATTCTATAAGGCACCTCGGACACTCAATGGCTGTGTCACAAGACCGTTTTTCGACATTTTTCTGACACTTAGGGCATTTCGTGTGTTCAATTAATCTGACATTGAAGGCCTCGTATCCATGTGATAAACTGAATCCAAGTAAGAACTCGACTCGATGGTGTTTATAGCTGGAACCTTTCAAATTGCCCTCTGACCTCACCGGAACAAAGAAAACTTTAACTGGGACCCGGTTTCGAGGTCCTAAATCTAGGTTAATGTAACCACCTGCCGGCTTATCATTTGGTGCGCATATTGTCCCTTTCTGAACTTCAAGTGTGTCGAAATCTATCCCTAGTTTTATATCTCTTCCTTCGATTTGACCAAAAAAACGAAGCCCCGAAACAAGTTGACGTATATTATTTCCAGTTTTTCCAAGCCACTCTCTTGGATATCGGGGTTTTGTAACGTATTTAGATCGTTTAAGCATATCTTCCTTTGTATTTTGTGCATCAAACAATACTGTTGAATCGCCCTGTGATTCATTGTTTCCTATTCCATGCATACTTTTTATCACAAAAAGATAGAATAGGGAATGAGGCGTGTGCAAAAGGTCATGCCACAATTGCACCTGTTGTAGAACTTTGTCTACGGCATAATCCTTCTTAAATAAATGATGCCGTATAGCCACCAGCCATTCTCTGTAATCTAGGTCCATTGCCCTTTTACTTGGAAGTTTGTCAGGACATTCATTTTTGTAGTCTTGGAAGTTCTTTTCTAGCTCTTCAACTATAAATTCAACATCACTCACGTCATTCACATGCTCAAGAATTCCAATAGAGTCTGGCCGACAGTACTTCATCTTCACCTTAGCTATTTCCATCCTCCGTGACATAGCATCATCTGCATGTATACGCGGAAAGTTTGTACGACTCTGTTTGAATAATGCAGAGTACCAATTCATCAGACCAGATACATTTCTATCCATCTTTTCTGGTTCAATATTGCTGAAACAGGACAAAAACAGATCATCTACAAATGGAATACATTCTTTCACAAATTGAACTATTTCGCCACTACGTGCTTCTATGTATTGGTTAACACCTTTTCTACAGCCACTGTTGCGATGAACGTAGTCACAAAACATCAGGCGCACTTGTATTTCGCCTATGTAACCGAAACTACCCTCGCAACCAATTGGTGTTATATCTCTACACTTGGAAAATAATGCACACGCTTGCTTCACTTGCGGTAGAAGCTGCATTGCAATTTCGTCGAAATCGTCTTTTGTCTGTATCCTTGCTCTATCGCCCAAATATTTGCCAGTGAAATTGGCGACTTGTTTTAACACCATGTTTCCGTACATATGATATATATGCATCAGATCAAGTTTATAACTAAACGGAATATCGTCGAATTGGAAATTCTTCGAAACGTTTTCCGGTTGTATTTCGGACTCGCATATCTCTACAGCTTGTTTGAAACATATCTCAGCTTTTTTAGTTTCGTCAGAGCGGCAATGAGTATATAACCTTCCAAGATGGGCTCGGAATTGCGCTTCCATTGGGAAAGAATCTGTCAATGCTCGGTATATGTTAAATCGATCAGTGAATGGCGGAGCGGAGCATGAATCTTCGAGAATTTGAGAAAATCGTTGTCGTTTATGTGTAACCTGTGTTTCATTTTCTCCGACGGCTTTATTATCACGCAAAACAAAAGTTCGGGTCATGATGTACGATATTGTTGAAGACGGTTCTTGTTTATTAAATTTTCCCGCTTTTTCAATGAACTCAACAGCAAAGGAACCCAGATTTCTCTTGCTTTCACTGCTTAAAGTTGGTTCAGATTTTCGTTCAACCTTTTTTGGATAAACTAAAACTTGGTCCAATATTTCCTTCGCTATATAGTAATGTGCTATTCTCACAATATTTCTTCTGCGATCCTGTGTATCTCGAACCAGCAGTTCTTGAACATTCTCTGGAAAGTCAGCAAGTGTTGTTACATTTTCAGCATTATCCAGTTCTAAAAGATATGCAAAGAATTTACAAGGAAGTGATGCCTGTCCATAGTAGTATACTAGCGACAAATATGCTAAGGCTTTCTGTCTTGTATTTATCAATTTTCCACCATTGATATCTAATTGAAGATAACCTTGCACATAAGACTCGATTCCTTTGTATTTGTAACTATGCATTGCGAATCCAAAATCAAAAAGAGAGTGGTTTAGGTCGTCGGATACTAAGTCTTCTAAGTTCCGCCTTTTTCTTTCTGTATCACAAAGCTTGCTGTACAAATATTTCAAATTGTCCATTTCTTGTCTACTAAGTGAACTAGGTAACCAGAAAATTCCTTGCCGGCTAGATTTTTCACTGTAAGATTTCATTTGATTTCTCTTAACATACATAATTATTATGCAACAATGCCCACCTAATATTCCTTGTAGTGACTCTACCTTTTGCTCATCTCCCCCGTCAATAAGTATTAAGATAGGCATATGTGTTTTGTCAACAAGGAATTCAATTTTTTCCACTATGTCAATGATGGAAGACCCTCCTCTTTGCTTTATCTGTACACACGGTATTTCACTCATCAATGACCATACTACTCTCTGAGACAAAGTGGTGCCTCCGGATCCAGGATTGTGAAATAATGTGATGCATCCTGAGCGACATAAAGAAATATGTCTGGTTTTTATATAATTGATTATATCGTGCGATATATCACGCTGTATATCAACACGTCCGGGACCGACCTGGTACCACCAAGGCCAAGGCAATGTTCCTCCTCTGAAAAAGGCTTCCTCCTCTTTCTCAAGTTCTACTGAACTATACTGTATACCTGTTTCGTTTGTCAAATACAAAACATTAAGATCTTCATTCAACCACTGAGCCTTTTGGTCATTTATTTTAGGATCTTTGGTATTATCTGCTGTGGGAAGCTGATAATTCGATGAACCAATTTTGGGCAATGGTTTGCAAACACATGTAATAGATTTGCATACATCTATCATATCTATAGTGACTGATGTGAAATCGTCCTTTAATATATCTAAAAATGATTCGGCTTCCTTTGATTTTTTTGACCCATCATCGGCAATAACGATCTCTTTTGGGCAAAGTGCATCAGATATCTCATTCAAAACAAAATGTATATGTTTGTAGTTAACAGATTCACGAGGCCACAATGCAACAACAGTGAAGTGCGTGTAATCATCCCCATATCGTTTCAGTTGCTTAAGTTGCTGCATAAATCCTTGTTTTGTTTTTCTTTTCCATTTTTGAAAGTCATCATCTGTAATGGTTTCAGGTTGGTCGGAGCAACCTTTCATGCCAATCCAGTAGAGGGAGTTTTCCGAAAAATTGCATTTTTCTTCCTGCCAGCTAACAATGTGCAAAGAACGTCGACTTGAAAGAGATTCCTCTACATACGACAAAAGACCAGATAACCTGCTATCTACATCAAAGTCTAAAACAGCAATCCAGTCAACTAGACCAAATGCATCAAGATCATTTAAACCAGAAGTTCTGTCAACAACCAATATGTAGTTACCCCTGTCAAAATTATCAACATAATTTAGAAATGTCTGAATGTTTGATGAAAATTGTTTAACTTCCTTGGTAGCTGGCTGAGTCGAGAAAACTTGTATAACATTTTCTGCAGAGATAGTTTGAGTAATACTTGACCCTTCCGTAGCATTTAAAGTTGTGCCTGTAAATATGACGATAAAAGTCAGTGATAAAAGCAATAAATAAATTAATAGTAACAAATGGTTTCTTACAATAAATTCTGACTGAAGATAAAGTTTTTATTTGCCGCCAGAGCCATTCGATGCATTCTGAGGTTTAACATTAAAATGTAAATGTAAAATGGTACTTAACCAGTTATGATAAGATGTAAAGCAGCATGCTTTCCAGATTCTTGCTAATTATCATGAAAAATCTTGAAAATGTTTTCAAACAAGTGAAATTTTGTGACGTGAACAAAGAAAATTATCAACACATTGCAAACTTACAGTCAGCGTAAATTACCCAAAAAGAGGTAAAAATATGTAAAAGAAGCCCTTTCCGCGTTATCATTATAAACCATGTATTAATTAAAGAGAAACCTCAGGCAAGTATATCGAAGACATACCAATAGTGACAGATTTTACCTAACATATGAAATTTAATAAAAGAGACTATTTTCATCGTCATTGGTAATTAGTATCATGAAGTTCCACAAATGGCCAGAACTGTTTAAATATCCTGTCAAGGAGTATGTGACAATACATAAAAAATGTGTTCGGTATTGCTGAACAATACTTACATTTCAGAAAGGACTTTTATTGCGTTGTTGAGGTACGGCAAATAAATTTTGAAATTAAAGATTCTAAAAGGACAAGCATTTAGTAGTATTACAGAATATATTAAAAACGGACTCAAAATATAATATGATTTAAATAACCTTTGATTGCCAATCCTTTTTGTATTCCAGGAGAAGCCTCTCCGCGTTCGTAGATGATATTTTCGTTTCCAATTTGAACATTCTTACTAATAATGTTCTGAATAACAGCTATCCCTGGTTGTTCTCCTGCAAAACCATTTTATGTTCTTGGTAAAATACTTTTGAAATTAATCTTTGGCACTAAAGTAATCAGGCAAACCCTTCTTTATTATTTTCACTATCAAAATGTAAGAAAAGTAACAAATACGTACATGTTAAACTACACAACAAATACAAATATCTAATATATAAGACATTTAAAAACTCACCGAAGTGGCAAATATTTGCTATACATTATATAAACATTTACTATTTTATATATTTCTAAACAATTGTATACCTGTCAAATTACTGTCTGTCCTCTTTTCTTCTATTGAAGCATCGCCTGATTCTTCTGAAGAGAAAATTAGTTTTCCATAGAACAAAGTTGGCATAACAGTGTAAATAGAAATAATTTAAAAAAGAGATAGAAGTTTATATTGACTACTTATGTTTTATATATTGCATTTGATTGTTAAATATTGCACTTGATTGTTAATTCATTCCACTAAAAGACTGTCCGCATTTTTGATTATTTATCTTCAAAAATGACGTTTTCGACCTTTTTTACCTTTTCAAACTAAACTAATTAACAGTCTACGTAATATCTAATTTGTTCATGTTCATTGATATCACCACTTTGAGAATCACTTTGAAAAAAGTGTGAATTCTGATGAAAGCTGATTTTGGATATTGCAGGCAGGGTGTTTATTTGTGTAATTGATGATATTTTCGAAAGTAAGTGTAAAGTAGTTCAAAATATTTTCGCTATTAGGTTTATGAAATCTTGTAATATTGATTTATTTTCTTATTCATGTCTCTAACTAACCAAACAATCATGCATTTGTAGAAATTGTATTATCATGTTTTAGTAAGGGGAGCATACATAAGGCACCCTCCTGAGTATGCGCAGTTCATATATGTACGCACTTTGTGTCGTGTTTACGATAAAATCACTATATGGATAAATGGTTAGAAGAAAATAGACCATGCCCTTAGCGACCATGCATTTTACAAAGAATAGTAATTATTTCAATAATTGTGCATATCTTCTCAGTTTAATAAAATGAAAATCAGTCAACACCATTGGGCATGAACCTACTATAGCGCACCGAAACGTAAAGTTATTGCTTCTTTAGCACTTTAATCTTTGAGAAGCAAGTTAAGCATGTGATTATAAATTCATGTTAATGTTGCACAATTTATTATTTAGCAGGAAGCTGCAGCCAATTTACTAGAAAAAATGCCCACATATTTACTGCAAACGGACCTATCCCGGGACATACCTTCAGGTTCCAAAGTATCTGCTTCATCATCGATGTCAGGTTCGCGTGTGTCGGCACCAACAGATTCCGCACCTATAAACAAATGAAGACAAATATACCTATCAGCACGTTTATAGTCAATGTATGATTACAATAAATACTTACAAAAGCTACCGAAATGTTATTTTACGTTTGTAGACAATAATGTTGTGCTTATCTTTTATTTACAAAACTTCTCTCTTTACATCCTTTGTATGTGTTACGGTATTAATATTGTATAGTCATTATTTGTAATTTGAAATGCACATACATGTGAATCTGTCTCTCTCGCAAATGGAGAATTTACTTCATTGAGGGAGAGTTGGATTTACATTTACATTGACTAAGTTAAAAAAATTCAGTAGCAGTTGCTTTCTTATTTTTGTTAAATGAGGGAGTCACCAGTTTTGTGTGTATGGATTTATGTTTATTTCCTTTGGGTTGTGTCAGTCTATGCATGAAGTGTATGATTTATTTTACATGAATGCATCTTTGTATTTAAAATACACTTTACCTGCTTTGTTCTGAAAGCTTTCAGAACATACAGAAGATTGTTAAATAATCTTGTATCACTTCTGTGATAGTACATGTATTTGTTCGGAAAAAATACATTGAAAAAAGTTTACCTTATATATAATTATCTCTCGGATCTTACTTATGAAAAGGGTAATGACCTCTTATAATAAGAAATAACAAACAGCACACATAGTTCATCTTTACTATTGGGCAACATGTAGGTCTAGCTGTACATATTTTATACAAATAATTTCTCTATAAAAAGTTAATGTAGATAATTTAACATAATTATAGAGAAAAAAACCCGTCAAATCTAGTAAGCAAAATTAATAATTCACAATGAAGTGATACAAGATAATTTAACAATCTTCTGTACGTTTATAGTATACCACTGCTATTACTAAAAAACAAATCAAAACCTTTCTTGTAGAATTTCTTTTTGCGTCTTGGGGGCATACTGGATACCTCTTTTATCTTTAATTTCAACACACCTGTTAAGATATAAAATTTATGTAGTAAACAAACAAAATAACAAAATTGGTTAACTTTGTTTTCTATTTCAATTATCGGTTGGTGGTCTAGTAAATTAGTTTAAATGCACATTATGCCCAACGATCAATCTTTCGTTAATTCTTTAGGACTGTCAACTATGTGTTAAATAACATTTGGATAATTGATTTAGAGCATGTTAAATGTTTAACAGCTAACAGCGCTGAATATGTCGTAAATGTAGAAAAATTGAAACAAAGTAGTATTTTGACTTCCATACACATTACTAATAAACTGCCAACTGAGTAAAAGAAAGAAATGTAGTTGATCTATTTGGCAAATGAAACTGTGACAAGATACAAAAAAAGAGAGTTCTTTTTTTTAGAAATAAATATAATAGAAACCGAATTATCAATATATTAATTCAATTTTACAATATATGAAACCAGTTTATCAATGTATGTAACCAAATCAGCAATATATAAGTTGATTATCACATTATATGATACCAGTTCTTCAATATATGGTACCAAAATAGACATGTATGGAATGAGATATCCTTATATGAAACCGAATTATCAATATATTAATTCAATTTTCAATATATGAAACCATTTTATCAATTTATGAAACCAAAGTAGAAATATATAAGTTGGTTATCACATTATATGATACCAATTCTTCAATATATGGTACCAAAATAACCATATATGGAACCAGACCGAATTATCAATATATTTATTCATTTTTACCATTTATGAAACAAATTTATCAATAAATGGAACCAAAGTAGCCATATAAAACCGAATTATCAATATATTAATTAAATCGTTTTTACAATATATGAAACCATTTTGTAATAGTTATAGTACATGAAACGAGTTAGTTACGAGGGTATAACACTGGCTGGAGCGACATCAAGGGGTGTTTCTGCTAAAAAATGGCGAGGCCGTAAGGCCGAGACATATTTTTTGCAGAAACATCCCGAGATGTCGCCCCAGCCAGTGTTATACCCCTGTAACTAACGAGTTTCATATACTATAACTGTTGTATCGCAATGGCATAATGTTTTTTTTTTTTGTAATAGAAACAAATAAATTAATTTATCGTAAGCTACATTACAGTTATTTATCATAAGGATCATATTTCAGTGGAAATAATTCATTCAGCGGATGTACCTTTTGATTAAATGAGAGTAAATTTCATTTCATTAATTTGTTTATATTTTTCATTGTATTTATATATTTATTATTTTATTTTATTGATTTCATTTTTTTATTTTATGTTTTTTTTTGTTTGTTTGTTTTTGTTACTGAGAATGGTCGTTTACCACTGCCCCCACTGGAGCCTCTATGAAAAAACTGTATTGATATATACACGGTGCGAAAAAAACTCGACCGATATATAACAGTCGAGTTTTTTTCCTATATGAATCAATGAAAAAACTGTACTGTTATGTATCAATACAGTTTTGAAATGCTCATTGAAGTGTACTGAGTATAATGGGTTATAAGAACAAAGGAAAAGTTCCAAACCATGCGATAAATCAATGTATTGGACTGAAGTTTCCATATATATGTTGATTTTTACATTATATGACACCAATTTCTCAATATATTGTCATAGATTGCTAGTATATGAATCCACTTTTCCAATATATGGAACCAAATGAGCAATGCGTGGAACCAAAATGTCATTATATTGACGAGACTTTTTTAAACGCTGTATTCTATCCTTGCACCGGTATTATAGTTTCGCGCCAATATTCCTTGTAGAACTGTCGTAGTTTCGTGATTTCGCGTTTTCATCATCGTACTGTCGAGTATCGCGTTTCAGATCAAACCATTCATAGGCGATGGCCCTAACGGCTTTCCGGAATGCCGTAAGGGCCATCGTCTATGAATGTGTTAATCTGAAGCGCGATAGTCGATAGTACGATGGTGAAAACACGAAATCACGAAACTACGATGGTGAAAACACGATAGTACGATGATGAAAACGCGATAGTACGATGATGAAAACGCGATAGTACGATGATGAAAACACGACAGTACGATGGTGAAAACGCGATAGTACGATGATGAAAACACGACAGTACGATGATGAAAATGCGATAGTACGATGGTGAAAACGCGAAAGTACGATGATGAAAACACGACAGTACGATGATGAAAACTCGAAATCACGAAACTACGATGGTGAAAACGCGATAGTACGATGATGAAAACGCGATAGTACGATGATGAAAACACGACAGTACGATGGTGAAAACGCGATAGTACGATGATGAAAACACGACAGTACGATGATGAAAACGCGATAGTACGATGGTGAAAACGCGATAGTACGATGATGAAAACACGACAGTACGATGATGAAAACTCGAAATCACGAAACTACGATGGTGAAAACGCGACAGTACGATGGTGAAAACACGATAGTTTATCGCGTTTTCATCATCGTAGTATCGTACTGTCGCGTTTTCATCATCGTACTTTCGCGTTTTCATCATCGTACTTTCGCGTTTTCACCATCGTAGTTTCGTGATTTCGCGTTTTCACCATCGTACTATCGACTATCGCGTTTCAGATCAACACATTTATAGGCAATGGCCCTAACGGCATTCCGTACAGAACCCATTGACCTCGGCCTTTGACTTGTTGATTTGAAAATAGACTATTTTGGCTCCATATAATGAAAATTGCTATCATAGAATGTAACATCAACTTAAATACTGCTACTTTGGTATCATATAATGTGATAACCAACTTATATATTTCTTATTTGGTTTTATAAATTGATAAAATGGTTTCATATATTGAAAATTGAATTAATATATTGATAATTCGGTTTCATATAAGGATATCTCAGTCCATACATGTCTATTTTGGTACCATATATTGAAGAACTGGTATTATATAATGTGATAATCAACTTATATATTGCTAATTTGGTTACATAAATTGATAAACTGGTTTCATATATTGTAAAATTGAATTAATATATTGATAAGTCGGTTTCATATAAGGATATCTGATTCCATACATGTCTATTTTGGTATCATATATTGAAGAACTGGTATCATATAATGTGATAATCAACTTATATATTGCTACTTTGGTTCAACACATAAAATGGTTTCATATATTGTGAAATTGAATTATTATATTGATAATTCGGGTTCATATAAGGACACCTGGTTCCATACATGGCTACTTTGGTTGCATATAGTGAAAAATTGCTATCATATAATGTGATAATCAACTGATATATTGCTACTTTGGTTCCATACATTGATTGAATTGTTCCATATATTGTTAAAATGAATTAATATATTGATAAGTAAGTTCCAAATAAGGACATCTGGTTCAATACATGGTTACTTTAGTACCATATATCAAAGAATTGGTACCATACATTGTGAAATCAACTTATATGTTGATACTTTGGTTTCATACATAATGACTTGATTTTATATATTGAAAAAATGAATAAATGTATTCATAATTCGGATTCATATATCTGATCTGATTCGGATATCTGGTTCCATATATGGCTACTTTGGTACCATATATTGAAGAACTGGAATCATATATTGATAAAATCAACTTATATATAGCTACCTTGGTTTCATACACTAGCGGCATGGTTTCATATATTGTGCTTTGGATTTATATAATGGTTTCCGGTTTACCACAAATGCTGTACTCTTTTTTGTGTACATATTCTCGTGGTTAAAATTGACATGTATGCCATAATATCAGTATGTGAAATATTATTACGAGGACCACAGTTTATGCATGCATTTATTGATGATGTTAACGGACATTATCAATATTTTAAAGCTTTACTTTCTACATATCTTTTTTATAAAAAGAAATGCAAATTCAAATGATTGCAAATGTTTTTTTGTTATGTTTTCATGTATGCGTATCCGATCACCAGTATATATCTTGCTTAAAGCTGTGTAACACCGCACTTTGGGGTCAAACGCACTTTGGGGTCCGACCCCAAAGTGCGTTAAACTTCGCACCGCACTTTGGGGTCAAACGCACTTTGGGGTCAAAATCGAGAAATTGACCCCAAAGTGCGTTAATATGCTACATATCAACGCACTTTGGGTTCCAGAGGTCTAAAGGTGTAATCTGAGTTCTGCTTAAATACTGAGAACTGACTTATTTTCGACTTTCGACATTGAAATATTTGAGGTGGAGTTCAAGATGGCGGTCAATACTTTGTTGATGATGCTTAAGTGATAAAAGTTTCATTAATTTTACCACTTAAAATATCCAATAATAATAATAATTTGTTCATATAACAAAATTACGGTGGCATAAAAGTGACATTTGCATTTATTTTTATTTAAGTTTTGCATACATATTTTATTTAAGTTTTGCATACATTTTTTTTTTTAGTTTTGCATTCAAATTTTTTTTTTTTTTTTTTGAGCTTTGCATTCATATTTTTCTTAAAGTTTTTCGTACATTTTTTATTTTGTTTTTTTCGTACATATTTTAGCCAATCAAAACAGCCTTCATATCTCATAACAGCCCATAGTTGAGTATAAAACTAGCACAGTAGTTTGGTCACATTTCGGCTCATTTTTGGAATCGGCCCAGTCGTTTTTGGCCGCGCAAGTCTGGTTTCGGCCGACCTTTTTCGGCCCATTTTTTAAATCATATGTACTTAATATAATTAGTGTATTTTTTAAAAATTATTATCTACTATTATATTAGTGTCTATTTGGATAGGGCTGTTGATTGGTGAATGAATATGCACCACTCAACTCCACCCCCTGAGTATAGCGGAGGAAGGGCATTGACTTTAAACCAAGCCGACCACTGGTAAAATCTTCGCCCTGCGGGGGATATTCAGATAATAACATTCCTGCCTTATGCCCCGGAACAGCGCAGACATTACACGATTCTTTTTTAACCCGCACTCCCCCGGGGGCAAGGGAGGTGGTTACAAATGACTGGTGTATTACAATAATGCACAATAAAAGATCTAAATAGGTCCTTATATTCCACTGATTTAGAAAAAAATATTTATATACATGTATATACATGTACATGTATATATCAGAGACATAGATAATATCTATGTCTCTGTATATTTATATAAATATATATACCCCCAGTGAGAATTTTACATTATTCTGAAGCTCGCTCTTAACCCTTTACCACATATATACGCGAAACAACGCATTTTCGACCCCCCCCCCCTTTTTGGGGTCTCAAATAGTGAAAAAATGTCCTATTTGGACCCCAAACATAAGTTTTCGTTTGAGAAATGTTGCTAAAAAAATTGAGCAATTTTTCGGCGCCGCCCCCCATCCAAAAGATACATCAGGGGGTTGCCAGAAGGGGGATGCGCCCCCTTCTGTTAGGGGGGTTGGAAGGGGGGCGGAGTCCCCCTCATCGCCAAGAAAATTTTGGACTTGTGAGAGGCTAAAAATGACCCCAGGTCGATCATAATGTAACGTTTAACCAACGCTGAAAAGCCTTTGACTCTATCTCAATCCCTTGAGAAGTTGCAGCACTTTGAAATAAATTTTGATGGAAAAAATCGAGGCAAAATAGTGATTTTTGGCAATTTTTTGAGATGTCCCCTCGTTGTCATGGTAACAGGAAATTTTAAGACTGAGCATGTCGTTACAAAGGCAATGGTCCAGTTAACATTTGTGCCAAGTTTGATTAGTATTGAAGCATTTTTCATAGTTTCATAGCAGTTTTGAACTTGTAACAGGAGGCTTTTCAGTGAAAACGGCCATTTTTCACAATATGCTCATGGGGGAAAGGGTTAATGTGCGACTACTTAAATAGTTGATATTTTTTGACTGCCTGTACGGTTTACTACTTAAAGCCGCATCTTCACCTAGTCAAGTTTCTAATGTGTCACATTTAGATTACCCATAATTTATGCCTTTGTCTATGCAAAGACTATCATATTTCTTTAAAATGTGTAAATAACAAACGGGAAAATGATGCATTTAGCTAAAAACAATGGAGTTAATGAAAGGTGTACATTCTTTTAAAAATAAATGGAAAATTTTAGAAAAACATATTTTAAGCTTAAAGCTGCATGCCTCCAGATGAGTCAAAATATTTCAATAAAATCAAACTTGAGAAATATGTACTACGATTATAGGAAATGTAAAATGATTCAAGATTCAAGTAATATTTTACATGTTATGTGCGGTCAATGACTGAGTTTTCAATATTTACAACTATATTCCTACTGCGTTACTAACGCATTAAGGGCTATTTATGCATATTTTGACAACTTTTTGGTAATTTACGTAAGTTATAAGTGCCAATGATAATGTGCAAATTGCTTCCTTTTGGTTATTCCACAATATTATACATTCAAATAAATTTTCAAAATTTTCATGAAAATTAGCGTGAATCTGGAGGCGTGCTGCATTGATACAAAATCTTTATTTGGTGATTTATTTTGTGAAAGTTCTTCACTTACTTATCAAGACCATTTAAATCCCTATTGATTCAGGGCACATGTTTTGTGTCTATTTAATACCTTGATTTTTGTTTACCATTGGCTTTGACTACACTATATTATTTAAAACATAATGAACATAAGTTTTCTCCGACCCCAAAGTGCGTAACGCAATTTGGGGTTCGACCCCAAAGTGCGTTTGACCCCATAGTGCGGTGTTACAAAGCTGCATTTCTAAAGATGACTTAAAAGGATACAATAATCTACATTTTAGAAGTGAACAAAGAGAGTAATTTATACACTTTAAATGGCACGAATCCAAAACTGCCAAAATAATGCGATATATACACGTTAAACATACCAATGGTTTATGTACAAAATGTTATTTTCGAAAAATCGGTACAGGGATTTTCTGAAAATGCATACAGGCATAAAATAACTTCTCGTTATCGGGTAATCGCTTAAAGTTTATTTTCAAATTTCATTTTAAGTTGCAGTAAATGCCCTTGTTGATAAACGATATGTTTTTAAAATCTTCCTCTACTGTATGTAATGGGTTTTAAACTTTTCATATTTTTTTTTCTCTTTGTGTGTGTGTGTGAAAATGTAACCATTCCCCTTTATATCTAGTAGGTTTATCAAGTCTTGGTTAGTGTTGTTGAAAAATATAGACAATATTTATTCAGAAGAAAAAAAATAAAATTAATAGTTATGAAGATAAAAATAAAGAAAATAAAATTATTATAGATATACATGCATAATACAATGTTGGACTAGCGTATCATATTTCTACATGACAACACAGAATATAAACACGTCAACTTCCGTCCATCATAAAAGAAGTTAAAAATAAACAAAACAGACTCTAAAGGAAACACTTGATTGTAACAGCACGCAAAACAGAGAACACATTGAATTTTATAGGCTCGCAAGACAGTGGTTTCGTTTATCTACTGTGAAAGTAATAGAATTGAAAATAATGCAAGTTACGAACCTGTCAGAGTTACATTGTGTTTAAATAAATCATCATAGGCTGAATGTGTAAAATAAGTTAATAAACAATCACTGGTAAAGTGTAAATCCTACCAAAATGGCGCCGACAGATATATTTATCGGCATGCGCATACAAATAGGAAGTGTAAAATGCAACCGGTACATGTTTATATCTATCTAGACCAATAAATGCAAAGTGGGTTATTAAAAATAGATTGTAAGTATTAGTTATCTGCACTCCAGTTAACCGTATTGCTCGTTGATTGCCTACATTTATTCTATATATGACATATACTATATATGACGACAGGGAAAGAGATTTAATGAAAAAAGTCATGTTCAGATGCTCGTACACAGGCTCCTTTATTCTTGGGTTTCATACTATGATGACAGGAAAAGCGTTTTTATTTTTTTTCCTTTGATACAAAAGAGAAAGAACATCAAACACCTGGCTATGCCCTCTCCTACAAAATCATGTTTATCGATTCCATCACGTATGAAAATGCTTATTACTTACCTTATATAGTGGATTGGTTACATTTCGGGTTTTACTTTTTTACTTGGTATTTTAAACTACAGTTACCGCAGTGAAAACAAGAAGGGGTCATATGTCAACTACTACCGACGACCAAGATAATTATAACAAAAATGTGTTAAATTCGGCGTAAAAATAACAAACTAACACGACAAACAACATCAGTCATTATTTTTTAATTGACTTTTGATGAAAATAAACGCCAATGAATCAAAACAATTGTGATCATATATTCTTTACACATTTCCAGATTGCGGCGATAATTAATGAGTGAACTGCACCGCATCTTCATAATTGCAGTTTCGTAGTTGATGTGGGTTTTATGTCCGTTTCTTTTTGTCTTTTCGCGAAAATATGGAATATATTAATCATGTTTCGTGAAAATATATTCCATATTTATAAAAGATTATTAACAGTAAAATTATGTTGTTTCTGTAATCTTATTAATTATCGAAAGAGTTGTAAGATGTATTATGAATATTGTAAGTATATTGTAAGTAAACACAATAAAATGTTCCAGAACAAAATATTATATTGCTATTTCAAGATCCTGTATGTTGTAAATAAGAACGTAACATACATTTAAGTGAGTTTTATATATGTATACAATTATTCTTCTCAAACAATTTCCAAACATCCAAGAATATGTTAAATATGTACAACAAATGTTTTTTTACATAATAATTAAACGTTAAAATAAATGCATTTCTTATTTAAAAAACTGGCTTAGACTTTATCGAAAATAATTTTCTAATAACCTCCCGTTATTTACATGAAATGTTAAATTCGGTAATATATTTACAAATAATTCTTTTTGGAACTTAGATATTGACAAAATTTTAATCTTCATTTTAACTTCAGTTTTATAAAACAAGAGCCGGTTGAACCGGGTGATTTCACCGAATAGGTTTTGGAGACAGGAAGGTATACCTCTTGTAGTGTCAGAGTTATGTCACAGACAAAGTTCAAAGTGTAAAAACAACCCAAATCTGGTGCACGACACATTGTCTCAATATGGTGATCATTTCTGTGAAATAGTTGTAAAATCCGACTTCAATAACGAAGTAAGGGGCCGGACACGATTTTGCTGCAAGGTCATGCTGTGACCTTGACCTTTAAGGTAGCGACCCAAATGTTTCATGCGACACGTCGATTCAATATGGTGATCTTCTCTGTGTAATAGTTGTTAAATCCGACTTCAAGTAACGAAGTTATGGGCCGGACACGATTTTGCTGCAAGGTCATGCTGTGACATTGACCTTCAAAAAAGCGGCCTACTTTCGGAATTTGCAATTAACAGCATCAGAGTCTGAAAATTCGCTACCATTACTTGTTGGGTCTGACGACCCAAACAAATAAAATGCTTTATTTATTATATACAGAGAATTAATACAAATATACATGATTAGTCATTTTAATTTATTGCTGAGTTTATTATATATAAATTATATTGACTTGTAGTATTTTCACTCGATATATGAGATGTTTGAAGTGCACTTGATGTCACATATTTACTGTTTTTAAATTAAATGAGCCTTGTCACGACAAAACTAACATAGTGCGTTTGCGACCAGCATGGATCCAGACCAGCATCCGCGCAGTCTGATCAGGATCCATGCTGTTCGCTATCAGTTTCTCTACTTGTTAAAAAGTTTGTAAGCGAACAGCATGGATCCTGATCAGACTGCGCGGATGCGCAGGCTGGTCTGGATCCATACTGGTCGCAAACGCACTATGTTGGTTTTGTCGTGACGCGGCTCATTAATATGTTGACAATCAAAACTATGATATCTCCTTACTATGTATCAGCGATTATGATTTCTTTCTGTTTAGTATGTCAGGTGTGTCATTTAAAACACTGAGAATTTGTTAATAAAACACCGAGTATATGTAGAATATTTGCGACACACAAGACCATAATGCTTCTATAATGTGATGTGTGGCCTTTAAAATATATTCTGGGCTTCTTTGGATGCAGTTCACATACACGTATTTTGTTTGTTTTTACTCAGACAAATTATTGTTAGTTTTCATGACGTTTATGCGATAGTCAACGCAATATTTCAAGCTAAATCTTTAAAGAAGATACACAAAATATGAGATTTAATCATACGTGCGCGCTACGCATAAAACAAAACACCCTATCATATACCCGTGTATCTCAATAGGAAGATTTTTTGCAAAAGAAATACTTGTCTCTATTTCACCGTTTTTTCATTACCGTCTAGTTTTATAAGGCCACTATGTTACCAAATTATAATACATACAACAGCTTCGCAGGCCGCCAATGATCATTATCTAGCTCATCAAAAACAATCCTTATTTCTCAAATCTAAAGCAATCCGTTAGTAGTTTTGTGCATCCATTATTATCTATGTATAAAGGTGTGCATAAACCTTAAATATTATTCCAGTTTGTTGATTGTAAGGAGTTTCAAAGAATGACATTATTTGTGTTTTATATAAGTTTTTCAACGTGTGGTTACAGCAAAACCCACGATCAGTTACTGTGCGTTGGGTTTTCACTCTGTGTTCCTTTTATATATCAGTTCCAGGAGTGATTCCTGCATGTTTCATTCGACACAGCTCATGGCTTACATCATTTCGACTGTCAACTAGTATTCAAACGTGCTTGTCGAAACAAATTCTTTGTACGTAAAGTAAAATATTCAACCAATTTGGTTTGCTCAAATGTGGCTATTTTACAATTTTAAATTTAATTTTGTAAAAGAAGAAGAAGAGGAAGAAGAAGTCACAATTTCGCTATAAAGGATTAAGAAATTATGACTGCAAGTACAATACTAAAATGAAGTAAAGATGAGGTCCTTTTGTGTTAGAAAATATAAGAGTTTTGACAATTTTCATCTGAGAAAACGTAGATGCATTGTAGGCCGTGATTTTTAAAAAAACACATTATATATTAGCAATAAAAGCTTGATAGCTTATCAGGCACTTGACCTGGACACTTACTTTTCAAAGAAATGGCTTTAAAAATGATTCAACACAATTTACAAGTTCAATTGAAAGAGCACTAACTGATGTAAACATAAATACACAAAATAGTTCTTATTGTTTGCCCTTACATATTAATATTTTTTTCCGTTCAAAATATTTCTGTTATCATATTCTAATAACATGCCAAGTTTAAAGAAATTCTATAAAACAGTTTTAATTTTGCCTATATGTCTATATGAAAATTCCCGAAAACGTCTTTAAAAAGGATATCGTGAAGCACTAAATGATAAATTATTATTATCATTAATAAATTGGGTTCTGCTTGAAAAATAATATACAATAATAATATATGGACTCTTTAGCAAACTAGTACATATGAATTAAAGAACGCACATTGGGCTATTGGTGCTTTGCGAAACGGAACGAGGGGCACCATATAGGGAAATTATGATTTCAAGTGTAAATTTGGAAAATCAATATAATCATAATAGTTAATAATATGAACTCTTTATAATCATAGTCGAATGATGTAAAAAGTCCTACAGAAAACATTAAAGTTCAGTCTTGTTCCGTTACGTTAGGCAAAGTACCATTACCCACACGGGTATTGATATTTTGCGAAACGGAACGAAACAAAAATTAAAAGGGGTTAGACATATCGGTGAAAAGGAATAAAATCCTATCTTTCATTTGTAGTTAAAAGCATAACACTAATTGATTATAAATGCATACATCTTTTAACGAGCACAATGAACCAGAGAGCAACTTTATAATATTATGATGTACCGGTCCGGATAAAAAAAAGTACTTAACATAAGCTGTCGAATGTAGCACGTTAAGAAATGAAAATAAACTCGTCTTTTTTCGTTCTGTTACGCAAATTACCAATACCCACTCAGAATTGACCAGTACTTTGCGAAACGAACGAAACGAGAAAAAATAATTAATTTACATGAACTGTTTTTCAGGAATTCACATCTAATAATCGTTTTTGTTTGCATGTACAATAATGATCGCAAGTATTTGCAAGTCAATATTGTTCAAGTAATTTGCGACAGCTCATCAACTCCATAACTTATTACTGGTACCATGTAACACTTTACTAAATGTAAAGGCACAGTTTCTTATTAAATGTGGCTAGTCGATGAATGTCCCCGCTTGGAATGGATGGAACAACTTATTGCAGGTCAGGCCCACGGAAGGTGTCATATACCTCCCCTGCATCCAGTCTAGGCTGATGCTGCTGGAAACAATACCCATTAAAGTAATTCACCGAGCACTGAACGCACTAGTCGTGATGTCAGCTGCGGCCGGAATCAAACCCGGATCGCTGTTATTGTATTCCAACCTGCTACCCACTGCGCAACTGACTCCCTATGTATGAATAATGTACATACTCTCATACTTTCATAGATACAAGTACCTTCGTAAATAACCTCGACATGCAATACTGCCGGGTATATCGAATAATCATTTATGGTTTTATATAATTTATGTAGTTCGAGCCTGGATCTGCAACTCATCTTTTCATGTATTTAAATAAGGAGGATTTGTATGTTTATCTCTATTTTAAGTAAATTTGTTGGAAAAGTTCTGAAGAAACAGTTTTTAGGAATGGACAGACAGACGAACTGACAGACACTCTGAGGGTAAATCTTTATGGACGCTAGATTTATAACCATTGTCATATTATTAAGATATTGGTGTTTGAAGTAAATGCTATAAGAAATGAAGAATTTGGGTAAAAAATTATAGTTTCTAGAAAAAATAAGTTCAAGATAGTCAAGCTACAGTATTGAACCGTCTCCAAAATGATTTGACTGATAATGATACACATATATATTAAGTTTAAAGTAGATACAGTAAGAAATACAAACAAATTATAAAAAAAACATCATTTTTTCATGAAAGTTCAAGGGGGGTCAATTCTGATAATTTTTGTGCTAGAGTTGTAATATTATGATGTGGTTGATGACATATATTTGAAGTTTGAAGCAAATACCTTAAGAAATAAAGAACTTATAGTGAAAAAGCGAGAAAAATAACTTGAATCAGAAATCTTGACGAGGTCGCCGACGCTTGGCGAGTAGGACAGCTCTCAATGTACTCCCTATAGTGAAGATTAAAATGATGTGCATAATTTCCATACTGCCATCTATGCATATTTAAAGTTTCATAAAAATATTTTCACTACCTTTTGAGTAATCAAAAATACTGTTATATTTAACATATTTTATAGCTATTTGTTGCCATAGCAACCAAAATTGTTCAGCATAGAGAGAAAAGAAAGAGACGTGCATAATCTCCAGACTGCTACCTACACATATTTCAATTTTCACTTTTTACGTTATCATTGGATCTATTTTGTGTGTTAATTAACCATATTTTCAGTCTATTTGAAGCCATAACAACCAAAGTTTTCAACATAGGAAGAAAAGAAAACGACGTGCATAATCAAAGTGCCATCTATCCATATATCAAGTTTCATAAAAATATTTTCATTACTTTTTGCGTTATCGCGGGTTCCAGTTTAGTGGACGGACGAACTGACAGACGGACGGACAGACAGATGAAGGGAAAACCTAAAGTCCCCTCCGGTTAAACCGGTAGGGTACTAATAATATATTTCTGTAACTTTTAGGACAAAGTTCAATGTAAAACACTTTTTGTGTTTTGCTAACATTCAGATTTAAATCCTGGGTATTATATAGATTTCTTGGATCAATTAAATTCAATATTTCAATGTCCCATCCATGAAAGATGAATATTCCACGATTTGTTTTCCCTTTGATCTTTAAGTTACTTAAATCACATATCTCTTAATTTAATTCCCGAGTCATTGTTTTAAATACAAATTTTTACGAAATGTTAAGTCAGATTATCACAGTTTAAACATTGATTTTGCACTACTTCCCTCCAAAATAAACAGAAACAATATACATGTAGTAAATTGCGAGTTAAAATTCCACATGGCAGACCATGTAATGTACAAAAGTACTTATTGAAGTGTATATTTAAACATTAGAATACCAGAAGCTGAAATAAGTTCATTCTTGTAATTTTATTAGTAAAGTCAAGTATGTAAAATTGTGATAAATATGGACCCCTCAAGAAGCATCAGAGTTTGTGTGGAAAAAAGATGAGAAAAAAATGACTTACAAGATGATGTCTATGACGGAAAATGTCTATAATCAATCTGCATTCATTTAAACCCAATCAGTTGACTAAATCTCATTCCGTTTCGTTTCGTTTCGCAAAGTATCATTACCGGTGTGGGTATTGATACTTTGCGAAACGAGACGAAACCATACAGGAAATGTTAATTTGGTTATATGTATTATGTAATTCAAGATGCTGAATATAAAAGTATAATAAGAAGGAAAATCATTTTTCAGTACAATTGCAGTTACATGCAAGAATCTTATTTAAAATGGCAGTGTGGGCGAGGACTGGTAATCTAAGGATTGATGACCGCGCGGGTTCAAACCCTGTTAGCAAGCCGTTTTATCTATATCAAAATGATGAGAGATTTGTTTCTTTTACTTGTTTGTTTCATTTTACGCCTTTCCCAACAGTATTTCAGTCATATAGGCGGATAGTTTCCTAACCATCGTTCCTGGAGAGTTACAAAAGTACTGGACTACCTTCCTCCGTGCTAAACTACAAAAGCATCTCCCGGGGATCGAACCCAAGCCAGAGAGGTAAGTGGATTAGAAGTCATCGACTCTAACCCCTCGACCACGGAGGCGATTATGATGAGAAATAATATAGGCATGATATATAACATGTCCTAAAGCCTTATGTTGCACCTTCATTCTCATAACAGTACTTTTCAAAATGGTTTCTACCATAGGAACCCTGGAACAGGACCGCATATTGCGGCGCATAAATCCGAATCCGTACCAGCTTTACATATTATTTGTCCGACCTTTGAATATCTTTTCATATTATGCGGGCGGGTGGTCTTTAATTATCTAATCTAAATTTGATATAATCTGCTAATTTAAAAATCAGTCAAATTTACGGTATATTGAAAAAAGACAAAGAGTGACATCCGCCATTTACCGCAACGTTCGGCGTAAGTTATCCCCTTGATATGCTTGATTTTTGTTTTGATTTTTCTAGTAATGAATACCGATTTTTCTAGTAATGAATACCAGATGAGTGCCTAAAATATTTATCTATGGATCATGTTTTAATATTCCCTTTTTCAGTTAGGCAAAATCAGTTGGACCATTCTCCATTTTAACAAATCAAAACACGAATACGCTCGTTATAATTCCGCCTATACATGTCAACACGTGTAAACAATAAACCGTTAACGTTATATCCGGACGATACCTGATAGTTGAGAAAAATAACGGGAACAAAATTCTGAAAAATATAGTAATCAATTGCAGCCAAAGGGGAAAAACTCATGCCGAAAACGTTGCGGCGTAATGACGGATGTCACTCTTTGTCTTTTTTTAAAATACCGTAAAAATTGACCAGTTTTAAAAGAGACAGATTGGGTTCAATTGATAATATCTTTTTTGAGTCCAAATACTCGGATAATACTAAAAGATATTTAGATGTAGCAGCAACGTTTTTAAAAACCGTTACACGATCGAAAATATACGCCGCAATCTGCGGTCCCGTTCTCGAGTTCCTATGGTTTCTACGTATACGAAAGCTCCCATGATGACTGACTAATAAACACATCTACGTAATGTTAGTAAATTGTGATTTTTATCCCATCAATTTCTGCATTTAAAGGCGGGCGTGGTCAGTAGATTGCATTTGCTACAACATTAGCTTCGCTTATGCCTTGCTTGGCTCCCACTTGTATTATTCATAGACACTGTACTGTATATAGTTCCGTTTAAATGTTTTACTATATATAACATAAGACGGTTAACGGTTAAACAAGGAGCTCATGATGGCCCTGGATCGCTCACCTGAGATTAATTGCAAGGAAAGATCACACTTTTTATTTTGCAATGTTAAAGTCAGCTGATGTCAAAATTCTAAAGAGGACACAACTGAGATTTTCAAAAATGACACGAATACTATGCAAGTCTATATAAATTAAGTGCCCCCGGGCGGGACCAATTCTGATCGCAGGGACATGACATATATAACTTTTGAAGAAGACTACAATGTGATGCCAAATATCTAAGCTCTAGTCATTGCAGTTTCATAGAAGTATTTTAAGATATTTTTACTATACGCGTCCATGGCCGAGTGGTGAAGTTCGTTGACTTCAAACCACTTACCTCTCACAGCTGTGGGTTCGAATCCCGTCAGGGACTTTAGATTAATTTTGATTATTTTATATGACTACGGAATGTCGATGGTTCTACTCATGTACCCGTTCTTGCCTGAAATAATGCACGGAAGGGCACCCGAGGTCTTCCTTTACCATTAAAACTGGAATATCGTCATATGACCTATACTGTGTCAGTGTGACAAACAAACAAACTACACAGGACAACCTTTATCTCTGAGGCATGATTTATGTAACTTTTGAAGATGACCACAAGGTGATGCTACCTGCCAAACATCTAAGCAAAAGAAGTCTTTTAGATATTTTATTATACAAGACAAAATATATTAAGTGATGCTGGCATGACAAAAATGTAGACCTGAGGGCCAGGATTTGTATAACTTTCGTAGAGGTCTACTAAGACATTGTAGTTTCATAAAAGAATACTTGTTTTTTCCTATAAAAGCCTATGTAAAATAAGTGATACCTAGGCCAGGGCTATTTTTAACCGAAAGAAAAATAATTAAAATTATTTCACAAAGCTAGAAATCACGTGACATTACACGTTTTATTTATGACGAACTGGATTGAGAAAAAAATATTTTTCTTAGACTGCAAAGTGATATTCTCTATTATGCTACAGATTCATTCTTAGATATACATGTGGTCATTGTCACACAATTTTGGCATATATGACTTGCCAAAACCTTAAAAAGTAGTTTTTACTATTAATATAAGACAAATTAGCAAACACTTTCTTGAGACAAACAAACGTAGTTAATGCATAATTTTCATCAGTACATGCTTTATGATTGTGCATAAAGTAACAAGACCTGTACACTTCTAGATTGTTTTAATTGAAATATAATTATTTTGTTTCAAACGACAATAACGGTCTGGACATGTGAAAAGCAATCGCCTTTAAGAGACATATTAAAGTATAAATTTTCTAAAAAAAAATTCTAAATTTTGACAATATCAATACAATATCTTTCATAGTTTCAATGTTATTCAAGTCATATTTAAACAAGTGGTTTCTGTTAGTCACTAGTGTTGGTAACATCACATCAATGAAATGAACATGTTTTATAACTATACAATCAATCAATCAATCAATCATCATCAACAAATACAAACATATAAAAATGAATTTATATCACACAATCATATTATTCACTCATTAACAATGATTATCAAGCACACATATATTAATAAACAGTAACATACATGTAAATAGAATTTCTACCACCAAATTGTATTTTTAATACTATCATATTAAAAAATAGAAATATGGCATAAAGCAAGTGTGTGCGTAATTCTTGATGAAATGACTACGTAAAATTTCTTTTATCAAATCATGTCAGAAAGCAAAGGCAGAAAATGTCTAAGAAACGGGTATTTTCGATAGTAAATGTGTGTAATTTAAAACATAAATGCGATACATATATAGCACATATAATACATCTGATGCAATATCATGTATGAAAGACTATATATCTCTATATCTTTTTTTTCTTCATAACATTTATAAAAAAATACATTCATAGTTATGTAGGATCTATCAGTACATAACAATTAAAAGAGGACAAGTCACATTGGAGGTTCCAAGATCATCGCCATATGAATACATCAGTACCGTTTATGAACAGGAACCTGCAGCATTTTCAATTCTGCCGTTTTGGGCTTTCTTTAATGATTTTTTTCTAATCTTGTTTACACAACAATTAAATTTATATAAGGCATATAAGACAAGACAAAACAACTTTTATGCATCTAAAATGTTTGGCAGAGACTGTATGTCTCTTGTTGTTTCTGATGAAAACATGAAAATATTCATAAATCAATAATGTTACTGTACAAAATGTATAAACTGACGTTGTGTGGCTTTTCTAAATATTTTCACAATTCAATCATATGATCATGTTTAACATAAGCAAAACCGATCACGATTTATTTGATTCATTTCTACTTTGTTTAGGTTGTTTCTTTGCTTGAAATACAATTTCGCACCTCGGGCACATGATTTCTGTGTCACAAGACCTTTTCTCTACATTTTTCTTACACTGAGGGCATTTCTGCTGACCAATTAATTTTACATTAAATGCTTCATATCCGTGTGATAAACTGAATCCAAGTAAAAACTCTACTCGATGGTTCTTATAGCTTGATCCTTTCAAATTCCCTTCTGATCTCACAGGAACAAAGAAAACTTTAATTGAAACTTGGTTCTGAGGACCTAAATCCAAATCAATGTAACCACCAGCTGGTTTATCATTTGGTGCGCATATTGTTCCTTTCTGAACTTCAAGTGTTTCGAAATCTATTCCTAACTTTATATCTCTGCCTTCCATTTGGCCAAAGAAACGGAGTCCTGACACAAGTTGACGTATATTATTTTCAGTTTTACCAAGCCACTCTCTTGGATATCGGGGTTTTGTAACATATTTTGACCGTTTAAGCATTTCTTCCTTTGTATTCTGTGCATCAAATAACACTGTCGAATCGCCCTGTGATTCACTGTTTCCAATTCCGTGCATACTTTTAATTACAAAAAGATAGAATAGAGAATGAGGCGTATGCAAACGGTCATGCCACAATTGCACCTGTTGTAGAACTTTGTCGACAGCATAGTCCTTCTTAAAAAGAGGATGCCGTATAGCCACTAGCCATTCTCTGTAATCTAGGTCCATTGCCCTTTTGTTTGGAAGATTACTAGGGCATTCATTTTCGTAGTCTTTGAAATTCTTCTCTAACTCTTCTACTATAAATTCAATATCACCCACATCAGTAACATGCTCAAGAATTCCATAAGAGCCTGGCTTGCAGTACTTTATCTTCACTTTAGCTATTTCCAACCGCCGTGAAAAAGCATCTTCTGCATGCATGCGTGGAAAATTGCTTAGCGTCAAATTGAATAAGGTTGAATACCAACCCATTAGCTTGGATACGCTTCTATCCATCTTTTCTGGTTCAATATTGCTGAAGCAGGACAAAAATAGGTCATCTACTAAAGGAATACATTCCTCCACAAACTGGCCTATCTCACTGTTTTGTGTTTTTCTATATCGGTTTACTCCACCTCTATAGCCGCTATGGCGCTGAATGTATTCACAAAACATCAGACGCACTTGAATTTCGCCTATGTAACCGAAACTGCCCTCGCAACCGATAGGTGTTATATCCCTACACTTGGAAAATAATGCACATGTTTGCTTCACCTTCGGCAGGAGAGTTAGTGTAATTTCATTGAAATTGTTTTTGGTCGGTATCTTTGCTGTGTCACCAGGATATCTGCCAGTGTAATTAGCAATCTGTTTTAACACCATGTTTCCATACATATGGTATATATGCATCAGATCAAGTTTATAATTCAACGGAATGTCATTGAATGAGAAGTCTTTTGATACATTTTCAGATTGTATTTCGGACTTACATATCTCGAGAGCTTCTTCGAAACAGTTCTCAGCCTTTTGAGTTTCATCGGAGCGGCAATGGGTATATAACCTTCCAAGATGGGCTCGGAATTGTGCTTCCGTCGGGAAAGAATCTGTCAATGCTTGATATATGTTAAATCTGTCTGTGTAAGGAGGATTTGAACATGCGTCTTCGAGAATTTGCGAGAAACGTTGTTTTTTTATTGTTACCTGTGTTTCGTTTTCTCCAGCAGCTTTATTGTCACGCAAAACAAAAGTTCGCGTCATTATGGATGAAATTGTTGAAGAAGGTTCTTGATTATTTAGTTTCCCTGCTTTTTGAATAAAATCAACAGAAAAGGTACCCAGGTTTTTCTTGCTTTCACCGCTTAATGTTGGTGCTGATACCCGTTCAACCTTTTTTGGAAAAACCAAAACTTGGTCCAAAATTTCCTTAGCTATAAAGTAATGCGCTATTCTCACTACATTTTTCCTGCGATCTTGTGTATCTCGTACCAGCAGTTCTTGAACATCCTCTGGAAAGTCAGCAAGCGTTGTTACATTTTCAGCATTATCCAGTTCTAAAAGATGTGCAAAAAATTGGCAAGGGAGTGATTCCTGTCCATAGTAGTGCACTAGCGACAAAAATGCTAAGGCTTTCTGTCTTGTATTTACCAAATTTCCTTCATTCATATCTAACTTTAGATAGCCTTGCACATAAGACTCGATGCCTTTGTATTTGTAACTATGCATGGCGAATCCGTAGTCGAAAAGAGAGTGTTCTTGCTCGTCAGATACTAAATCCTCTAAGTTACGTCTTTTTCTTTTCGTATCACAAAACTTGCTGTATAAATGTTTCAACTGTTCTGCTTCTTGCCTACTTAGCGTACTATGAAGCCAGAAAACTCCTTGCCTCTCTGATTTTCGCAGATGATGTGGCATGTTATTTCTCTTTACATAAAGAATTATTATGCAACAATGTTCACCTAACATTCCTTTCAGGGACTCTACCTTTTGCTCATCGCCACCGTCAATAAGTATTAGGATAGGCATGTGTGTTTTGTCGGCAAGAAATTCAATTTTCTCTCCTATGTCAAAGATGGGAAAACTTCCTCTTTGCTTTAAATGTACACAAGGTACTTCACTCATCAATGACCATACTACTCTCTGTGACAAAGTGGTGCCTCCAGATCCAGGATTGTGAAATAATGTAATGCATCCGGAGCGACATAAAGAAATATGTCTGGTTCTTATATAATTTATTATATCGTGAGATATGTCACGCTGTATATCAACACGTCCGGGACCGACTTTATACCACCAAGACCAAGGCAATGTCCCGCCTCTGAAAAATGTTTCCTCTTCTTTTTCAAAATCTGTTGAACTAGATTGTATACCTGTTTCGTTTGTCAAATACAGAACGTTGAGATCTTCATTCAACCACTGAGCCTTTTGGTCATTTATTTTAGGATCTTTGGTATGATCTGCTGTAGGGAGCTGATACCTCGATGAACCAATTTTCGGCAGTGGTTTACAAACGCATGCGATAGATTTACAAACGTCTGTAATGTCCATAGTGACTGTTTTAAAGTCATCTGCTAAAATATGTAATAAAGAATCAGCTTCCTTGGATTTCGTGGAACCATCATCGACAATTATGATCTCCTTTGGACAGAGTGTGTCTGATATCTCATTCACTACAAAGGATATATGTTTATAGTTAATCGATTCACGAGGCCATAATACTACAACAGTGAAGTATGTGTAAGTATCCCCATATCGTTTTAACTGCTTCAGTTGTTGCATTAATCTCGGCTTTGTTTTTCTTTTCCAAGTTTTGATGTCATCTCTTGTAATAGTGTCAGGTTGGCCTGAGCAACCTTTCATGCCAATCCAGTAGAGGGAATTATCCGAAAAAGTACATTTTTCTTCCTGCCAGCTAACAATGTGCAAAGAACGTCGACTAGAAAGTGATTCCTCTACGTATGATAAAAGGCCAGATACCCTACTATCTACATCAAAATCTAAAACAGTAATCCAGTCAACTAACCCAAATGCATCAAGATCATTTAAACCAGAAGTTCTGTCAACGACCAATATGAAGTTACCTCTGTCAAAATTTTCTACATAATTTAGAAATGTCCGGATATTTGACGGAAACTGTTTGTCTTCGTTCTGAGCTGACTGAGTTTGGAAAACCTGAACAAGATTTTCTGCCACTATAGTTTGAGTTTGACTTGACTCTTCATTGACATTCAGTGTTGTGCCTGTAAATATCATTTATATGTAGACACAACATATTAAATGATAATGATTAATGTTTAGTTAACAATATAACAATTAATCCTGAATAAATGGTGGGGAGGGGTTCATAGCAGCCGCCTAAGCCATTAAATGCACCCGCAGTTCAACATGAGCTACACGGAAAATGTTAACTTAAAGATATACTTAGCTCAAATTTGATATTAGTATATATCGATAACTGCTACACAGTCTCTTTATAAATATATAATAAACATGTTTTGACTTCACACAAAGAAGATATGCTATGTTGTAAACTCTACACACTATAGGTGGTCTCAATATGAATATTTTGTGTAATTAAAAAAAACCTGGCAGTTTTTTAAGCAAACAACCAACTTTACTTCACCTGTAATACGAAACGCAGCTTCCCATACATATTTCCGAATTCGTAATCGCAATATATATTATTTTAGCAAGAATTTTATAGATTTTTATTAATTTCTGTGATTAAAATATTTTACTCAACGATGAGTATAGTATATCTTTAAAACTTGAATGTAGTTATTATATCAATAGTATGACACGGTATTTATATACAAAATGTATTTTCATGCTCATTCACAACAATGTCCTTAAAAAATGATACAACAGTAACAAAACATTTATATTTCTGTCTAAACTTATTAAAAAATCAATGTATCAAATTTTACGAAGCGTGTAAACTATACAATAATTTAATTAACGACGCCCTCTTACAAGTAGTAACAATCAAGAAGTCATCGTTGGAGCATATCCATTATAATACGAAAAAGAAGGATATGTCAACATAAAACATTATTGGTTATATTGCTAAATTGTGAATGTTCTTAAATTTAAAGATTATAACTTTTATTCTGTTAAGTTAATAAAAAAACAAAACAAATGTTGATATAAAGATTCTAGAAACGAGCAGTAAGCAATATAACCAGTGCTCAACTCACGTATGATTTAATCACCTTTAATTGTTAATCCTTTAGTAGATCCAGAAGAAGCCTTAACGCGTTCGTAGATGATATTTTCATTTCCAATTTGAGCATTCTTTGCATGTATATTCTGGATTACAGCTATCCCTGGTTGTTCTGCAAAATCATTTTAATCGGTTGTTTAAAATACTTTAGTCTCTGACACTAAATGTAATAAGGTAGAAACCTACTGATTCATTTCAATATGTAAGAAAAGTAAAACATGAGTAAAACAATTGCTACACAGCTAAAATTTAATGTCTAAGACGTTTGACAACTCACAAACTCTACGAGTGCCGACCGATTTGCAAGAAAACTTTGCATAACATTGTAATTGGTATAAAGTGGTCTGATAAAAATAATTTTATACCTATCAATTTTCTTGTCCCTTTTTCTTCTATCGAAGCATTGGCTGATTCTTCTGAAGAATATAACGTTAATTGCTTTATGTAAGTTCTAGGTAATTTAAACCAAGTGAAGATTTAAACCGGGGGGGGGGCAAAAATACATTTCTCACCTGAGGTCAATTTCTAGAAAGGTTATACATTTTGTCATGCGAAAGTAGCTTTTTAAGACATTTTAAAATACGTCTAAGATCATTTTATAGGATAGTACAAAATATTATCTTTTTTGTATTCATTACTTTTCCTCGAAGATAAGGTATGTTTTACTTAGAACAAGAAGTAGTGACAGTGTCTATAACACTACTGTCATGTACGAAGAGCACTAAATGTTCATTCTCATCGTCATAGCGTTCTTCCCGTGTTTCTTAATACATCTATATCATTGTCAATATTAAACGGTAATCATAATACATCACACACCATTTTTACTAAATTTGGACAACATATTGATTTTTTTGTTGTTCAAAAAGTAATGTTTATAAACATTATTGAAAGGTGAGAAGCATGTTGTGAAAAAAAGAAACAAGGCCATGATGGCCCTGAAATCGCTCGCCTGTATATAGGCCCCTTGGCCAAGGCCAACTTTAAACCAGGAGCTTTTATTTGAACAAACTAGGTAAACACCCATTAGATGATGTTTCATGATAAAAACATAAGCTCTAGCTCTTTTGGGTTTTTATAAGAAGATTTTTAAAGATTTTACTATATACATATAGGTAAAAACAATGACCCCCTCGGAGGGACCAATTTTGACCCAAGGGATTTTATTTGAACAAACTTGGTAGACACTCACTAGAAGATATCTCATGCTTAGTATCTGAACTCTAGCTCTTTGGGTTTTTGATAATAAGATTTTTTAATTTTTTACCATACACATATAAGGAAAATCAATTACCCCTGGGACGGGGCCATTTTTAACCCAAGGGCCCTTATTTCAACAAACTTGGTAGGCACCCATTGGAAGATGTTTCATGCTAAAAATCTTAGCTTTAGCTCTTGAGGGCTTTTAAAAGAAGATTTTTAAAAGTTTTTACTATATACATAATAGGAAAAACAATGACCCCCTGGGGCGGGGCCAATTTTTACCCAAGGGCTTTTATTTGAACAAACTTGGTGAACATCCACTAGAAGATGTTTCATGCTTAATCTCTAGAAGCTCTAGCTATTTTGTTTTTTTAAAGAGTACTTTCTAAGTTTTTACTATATACAAAAAAGAAAAAAATCAATGACCCCCTGGGACGGGGCCATTTTTTACCCCATAGCTTTTATTTGAACAAACTTGGTAGACATCTACTAGAGAATGTTTCATGTCAAATATCTAAGCTCTAGGTATTTGGGTTTTTTAAAAGATTTTTGTATAATTTAAGGAAAATCAATGACCCCCCAGGGGCGGGGCCAATTTTGACCCCAGGGCATTTATTTGAACAAAAGTGGTAGACACTGACTAGATGATGTTTCATGCCAAATATTTTAGCTCAAGCTCTTTCGGTTTTTTAAAAGATATTTAAGATATCTTAAGAGTTTTCTTTCGGTTGCCATGGCAACCGAGTTAATTCTTTGAACAATTTTTAAAGTTGACTACCAAAGGAACATTCCTGTGGTTTGGATGAAATTGGCTCGGTTTATGAGGAGATGTCGTTTAAAGTAAAGGTTTACGGACGGACGATGGACAGACGGACGACGGATGGACGGACGGACGCCGGACGAAAAGCGATCACAAAAGCTCACCATGTCACATTGTGGCAGGTGAGCTGAAAAAAGAGATAATTTGATTTCAGTAATTGAAAATTTTGATGAAGTGAATTTTGCTGGAAGACGATCTGCGAAAATTATAGCTGCTGGAATTAAATATGGAATAGTTAAAAACTTTCGATGACCACCACACTCACTCAAACGCGTTCTGATTTTTATGAAGTTTTGTTAATATATTGATTCATGTTTATTGTTTATACACAATTAAAACTAGGAATAAGTAAGTGGAGCACTAATAAGGCATCATGATCATGCATAGTTCAAATGTTGTTTCATATTGCGATTAGAAAAGAAGAGTGAAAACAAATCTTTAAAATTATTCGAGGACTGATTTAATATAAAGGAAATAGACCATGCCTCCTAGCGGGCAAGTTCAACGAATCAGAATTATTGAACAATCATTGTGGATAGTCACCCAATGATCAATAAAGTTAAATAATATCAAATTCTGTCACACCATTCAACAGTATATGAAGATTATGTAGAGCCATAATACCGCGGTAAGTTGATTAAGACTTATGCAAAGAAATACCTTCAGGTTCCAAAGTATTTGCTTCATCTTCGACTGCAGGTTCGTGTGTGTCGTCACCACCAGAGTTGGCTCCTTATGTAAATAAATATATGTATGATCAATGTCGTCTTTTTACGATAAATGTATATGCACAAGCTACCCAACTTTTATTTTCCGTTTGAAGATAATATTGTTATGTTTATGTGTAGATATATTTTCATTCTTGTACAGTATAACGTTTCATTTCATAAATTGTCTTCCCTGACTGAATATTTATTTACTTCAGGAATTATTTTACTTTTTTTATTTTTCATTGTGCTTTTATTTTATAATTGTATATTCCTAAACAAGGAAAGTTTACTACAATTCCATACACATTGTTGTCTCAAAAGAATATATAGCTTCTATATCAAAACTGAATCTAAACTTATAACTACTACTCTAAACGTTTAAATTATACCAATGATTTAAAACTGATAAAACAAATTAAACCTTTCTTGTTGATCTTTTTTCTGCGTTTCGGCATACTGAATAACCCTGTTGCATTTGATGATAATCTTTGTAAACTGACCTGTTAAAAGATTAAATTTGTTTGTAAGATTCACATACATGAAGCATGTAACAAAATAAAATTTGTTAGCTCTGCATTTAACAACTGTTGCTTTGTGATTCTGAATTTAAATTGATTTGACTAGAACAATAAACAAGAGTGCCATGATGGCCCTGAGGTCGCTCACCTGTATATAGCCCCCCCCCTCCCCTCCGGAGCAGGACCAGTTTAAACCACAGGGCTTTTATTTGAACATTGAAGACACCCATTAGAAGATGTTTCATGATGTTAATTTTTTACTACACATATATAATGAAAAGCAATGACGCCCCCCCACCCTCCCGGGAGGGCCAATTTTAACCCAAGGGCTTTTATTTGAACAAACTTAGTAGACACCAATAAGAAAATGTTTCATGCTAAACATCTAAGCTCTAGCTCATTGGGTTTTTTTAAAAGAAGATTTTTTAAGTTTTTACTATACACATACAGTTAAAAACAATGACACCCCTGGGGCGGGGCCAGTTTTGACTGCAGGGCTTTTTAGACACTTACAAGAAGATGTTTCATGCTTAATATCTTAATTCTAGTTATTTGTTTTTTTTCAAAGAAGATTTTTAAGTTTTTGCTATACACATTTAAGGAAAATCAATGACCCCCGGGGCGGGGCCAATTTTTACCCAGGGCTTTTATTTGAACAAATTTTGTAGACACTCACTAGAAGATGTTTCATGCTTAATATCTAAACTCTAGCTCTTTGGGTTTTTCAAAGAAGATTTTTTAAGTTTTTGCTATACACATATAAGGAAAATCAATTACCCCCAGGGCGGGGCCAATTTTGACCCCAGGGTTTTTATTTGAACAAACTTGGTAGACACCCATTAGAACATGTTTCATGCTAAATATCTTAGCTCTAGCTCTTTGAGTTCTTTAAAAGAAGATTTTTTAAGTTTACTTTATGCATATAGGG